TCCGCCTGCGCCCAGCCGGGGCCGGGATGGGCCGCGGGGCCACCTCCCCACCCCCAGGCGGGCCAAGGCCAGGCCCAGCCAAGGGGGGAGAGGGGGCGGCCCCGCGCCAGTGCCGACCCCTCGCCCGATGCCAACGCTCCACCCCCCGGGCCAGCTGGCCCCTGCGGCCCCCGGTCCCCCTCCTCCTCCCGCGGGCGCCGCCGAGGGGCTGGGGTGGGCGGAAGGGGCGGGAGAGCAGGCCCGGACTTAGGAAAATTTCGGGGAGAGAGAGAGAGAGAGAGAAAGAGAGAGACACTGAGAGAGCCAGAGAGCCAGGGAGTGTGGAAAGAAGCCAGGCGAGCACGAAACCAAAGGAGAGCAACCGAAAAGGAAAAATGTGTCCACACACGAACACAAACACACGTCCACAGTACACAGCAATGGTGGTGTCTGGTGGCGGGGGGCTGGGGGGCATTTAGATGAGCCGCTCGTCGCGGCCCCTGCGCCGGGTGCCCTGACCCGAGCCGAAGGCGCCCCGGGCCCGGGAGCGCGCGCGGCCTCTGCGCTTGGCGCGGCCGCTCAGGAAGGAGAAAAAGGCGCAGCCCAGGAACACTCTGAAGCAGCAGGTCGCCCCGAACACGAAGCCGCAGCCGCGGCCCTGCTCCGTGCGCCGCTGCAGCAGGAAGTTGAGCACCCAAGACGGGCTGCGCACCGAGAACACCAGGAACACCACCAGGGGCATGTGCGCGCTGAGCGCGCCGGCCTTGGCCGGCCCAGGCCGCCACACGACGCCCCCCACGCGTGGGGGCGCATAGTAGGCGTCGTCCTCGTCGCCCGAGTCCGTGTCCCACTCGGCCCAGGCCCTACTCGTGCCCCCGCCGGCGGCGCCCTCGCCGACCCCGGCGGCGCCCTCCGCGCCGGCCTCGGCGTCGTCGGTGGCGGCGTCGGCCTCGGCGGCGCCGGCCACGGGGCCGCGGGCCTCCTGCGGCGCTTCTGGCACATTCTTCTTCTTCATCAGCTTCTCCAACTTCTTCCTCTCCTTCTGCCTCTTCTTCTCCTCCTTTCGCCTCTGCTCCAGCAGCTTCTTCTCCATCTTCCTGCGCTCTTTGTCGCTCAGGGGCTTGGCGGCGTCGCGCTCCGCGCCGCTCTTGGGGGGCTTCTCGGGGTCCCCGCTCCTCTGGGGCGCGAGCGGCTCGGCCAGCGCCGCAGCCGCCGCCGCAGCTTCGGCAGCCACCTCGGCAGCCGCCGCGGCCGTCTTCCTCTCGCTCTCGGCCGCTCGGGCTTTGAGCTTCATGGCCATCTTCAGCATGGTGACCCGGCCACCTCGGGGAGCTGGGCTCGCGCCTGGCCCGGGCGCTCTGCTTGCCCCTGGCCTCGGGCTTCCCGGCTCCTGGGCGCCCCGTGTCGGGGGACTGGAGCTGCTGTCCCCGCTGCGGTGGTCCCGGGGCCACGGAACGTGGCTACCCGGAGGTCTCCTTTTTGGGGGGGAGAGGGGAAAGGGCTGCTGGGTAGAGCTGCCTAGGAGTTAGCGTCAAAAAGATGAGCAAACGAAAAAGAGGGCGAACGAACCAAAAAGCACCCAACGACAGCGAGAAACCAAAAAAAGAAAAAAAAAAAAAAAAAAAAAACACCGGGAAATGTCCACCAACTCAAGAGAAAAAAGAAAGTGCAAAGGTGCGATGACACGAGTTTGCCGTTACCCTCAGGCGCTCCTCGGTTCTTGGGGACGCCAGTGGAGAAGAGAAAAGAGAAAAGACAGAGAATTGGAGGGTGCCCGGGGGGCGCGGGGCAGGGCAGCAGCGCCGGGCGCCCCTGCCCTGTCCCGGCCCAGTGGCTCTCGCCCCGGTGGCTCGCGCCCGCGCTGGGCACCTCGCACTTGGGCAGGCAGCCCGTGTGCTCCCCGACTTACATGTGAGTGAGGCGCACTCACACGCAAGGAAGGCAGTGCCTGCCTGCCTGCCTGCCCGCCGCCGCCCCGAGCCGGGACAGGGGTTCGCTCCAGCCGGTGCCGCAGCCCCGAGCCCGAGAGCCAGGAGCTGGCGAGCGCCGCCGGGCCAGCCACCTGACGCAGCCCGCTCCGCGGTGCCGACGCGACTGAGTGTCCCCGGCGCGGACCGGGGTTTTCTAACCCGCCTGATGACGCCCCAGCCTCTTCAGAGGACCGACCCATAGCAGCGGCCCCTATAAAGCGAAGGGGAAGCGCGAAAAATCGGCCCACCGAGGACGCGCCCAAATGGGCTGCGCCGTGGCCGGGGGGCGAGGGCCTCCGCGGGGACGGCGCGGGGGGTGCGGGGGGCGTGCTGGTGGGGGACTCGGGCGCGCCCAGGACGGTGGGCTCCCGACCCCGCCTCCCAGACCTGCCTCCCAATTTTCGGTGTAGTGGTGTAGCCCTCGGCGGCGTGGAAAGTGTGCGACGGCGGCGCATACCCCTGCCGTGCGCCTCCTTACCTCCAGCTTGCCATTGAGCGCACGCGGGGACGGCGACCCACCCCTCCCTCCCAGTGGCGCGTGCCCGTGGAGCTAGGTGGCGGCGAGCTAATGCACGGTGATGGCGAGGGCCGCGTGGACCGGGGTTCGGATCTTCAGAGGAGCACCGAAGTGTACGTGCGGTTAGAGTTGGTAGAAGCGGGCGCAGCGCTGGCGCGGCGGCAGTAGAGCAGCGATGGGATGGCGAGGGCTGTGGTGGCGGCGATGGCAGTAGCCAGAGAAGAGTCGGTGCACGCGGAATCCTCCCAGGTGGGAGAGGCGGTAGCCCGGCTTGGGCGCCACGTGGGGCTCTGGAACAAAGGGGAAAAAAGTTTAATGAACACGAACTTTTTGGAAGATTGTTTCAAAACTCACAAGCGTCGCGTCCCACTCCCCCTGGTCCCCACGCTAGGACATGGTAGAGAGCACTGGGTTAAATGAACGGGCTGAGACAAGAAGTCTTGACTTGGGGGTGGTCTGCCTGGATACAGTTCATTCATTCAATAACTTTGGTCCATGCCCACCATGTGCCCAGGTGAGTGCTGGGAGTTGGTGGTCACGCTAAGACATGGAGTCTTCCTTGAGTGGGACATGAGCTCCTGTAAGCTCAGAACTGCAAAGCAATCGCGAATCTCCAAACTCTTCCAGCGTTGACTTTCACTTTTAAACACAGTTTGAAAACTTGGGGTGCTGAGGAGGAGGACGACAAACCCTCTCCCTCTTAATACAAACACACCCAATGGTCCTTGAGGGGATGGGGTGACGGTTTGATACCCTCAGAGGCATCAAATAAATTGTGGACAGCTCAGTTCTATCTTTGAAAACAAAATAACACTTTAGCCTCTCAACAGAATTTTTAAAGTCCTTCCCTTCCTTTTGACCGACTCAAAGTTGTGACAGATAAAGATGCCTTGCACTGTTACACTGTTTCTCTTGGCCCCTCAGAGCCACATCCCCCTCCCTGGCCTCTTTTTCTTTCTTTCTTTTTTTTTTTTTTTTTTTTCTTTCTATTTTTTTCTTTTTTAATGGATTTGGAAGGGCAACAAAGAGAATAAAGCAAGCAAAGAACTTTCAGAATTAAGAGCAGAAAGCCCAACGTAACTGATGGGCCATGTTGCCACTCAGTTCCTGACTTTCACAAACTGCTGAGAAGTTTCCCCCAGAGCTGATCATGGCTTCACTTCATAGAAACTTTTTTGCTATTGTTGTCAAAAGAAAAGCTCAAAGATCTACTGCTCCAAGTTGGTGCTTTTTTATGTAACCAGGGTGGATAAAACAAGATTTAACTGCCACCCCATTGTATGAGCTGTGAATGAGGCTATAAAGGCCTCCTCCACTACCTCCTTGAAGACGGGGCCTAGGTTTCACCTCTTCACACAGTCAGCAAAAACTTTTTGGTTAAATTTGATTCATCTATTGTCCTTTTTTTTTTCTTTTCTTTTTCTTTTTTTTTAAGTAAAGAGTTAGGAGAGGGAAGACCTAGCCAGAAATTTGTGTTCCACTCCCATTTGATTAAAAGGTCCTTCCTGCTTGCAGTGTGGTGAAGCACAAACGCACTGTATACTGTACTTGAAAGTTAAGAAGTAACTAGTTGTCAACACAACAGGCCATGTGTGCTGGCAGCTACTGCCAACAGCAAGGATAATGAAGAGTCTCTCTATTTGGAAGTCTGAGCCCTTCCCCTATAGGATAAATATCACACGTGATCTGTGAAAGGAGCGAAACTGTCTCAAGGCATACAGTGACACATGTTCTAAGCAAGGCACAGTTGGGACCATTGTCCCAGAAATTCGTAACACAAGGTCAGTCTTTCCTCAACTTACTTAGCCATCTTTGAAAAAAAAAAATTTCTTTAAGTGTAGGTTTCATCTATATTTTGTTATGACTAACCACAGAGAGACAAGGCAATTACTTTGTAAATAAATGGAACAGGTGGAATCAAGGGTTTTCAGGTAAGCAAAGGACAGCAAGAGCTCTGAAATACAAGCTGCTTTGTGGTCTGTTCCATTTTCTGTTTTCACTTGACACAAAGTGAAAGATGAGATTTTACTTAATTGGTGTGGTGAGCTGACATCTATGGTTTTTGGCCTAGCATTGACCTGCCCAAGCCCTAAAAGTTATGTTTGTGTGTGTGTGTGTATGTATATATGTGTGTATATATATATTTTTTTAATTCAAAATTGGAGATCACATTCTAAAACACTGTCACAGGCATTCACAATTGATTTTTAATAGGCTGTCTTGTGATTTCAAGCATCTAGTTTATGTTCTGAGAGTAGAGCGACTCAGCTAGTATAATTCCCAGAACAATCCAGACTAGGGAGGTTTTTCAATGGAAGAGACCCCTCATCAGATTCAGGGAGATATGGAAGTTACAGAAACTTTAGGCTTCAAAGAGATATCAAGAGTAAGAATATCTTGAATAGAAAATGCCCAGGATAAAGGTTCCTCCCTGGCATCAGGTCACTTACTTCATGCCAAGGCCAGAAAGTTGAGATAATAACACATCACTAACCTAAAACACCAGGTCACGTAACATACAACTTGATTGCACAGATGGTGCCACACGCCTCACAGAGATGGCCTAGCGACAGTTCATTCCAAAACTTTTTTTTTCACAATAGATGAACTGATATGTTGGGGTTTGAGTCCCTAGGACTTGTTTGTAAGCTTTGTATTTATAGGTGGAGTATGTGTCCTTGGCTTGTACGTATCTGTCTTTCTAAGAGTGCCCTGTCTGCTTTTAGAAGCAACAGAATTGCTGCAGCTTAGAATCTTGGGAGATTATTATACTTAATGATGTAAGTCAGTTTTCAGACAAGAGTGTTCTCCTTTCATTACTTGGGGTCATTGTAAGCTATTTTCCAAGGGCCCAGAGAAAATATAATTATAATATTATTTTAATAGCTCAGGAAACAGTAAACAGGCTTCCACTGAAACAGAAACTTTAGCTGTAAGGATTTAATAATAGTACTTAGTACTTCTACAATGCATTCTGTCTTCAAAGTACATTCTGCACTTTAATTAACTAGAATGACTGAAACTGTTACTGCAAATAAATGTTACTTGAAGCCTATGCCATATTGGAGATGAAAGCAGGTATTGTAGAAAGGATTTCCTAGTCCTGGCTATTGTAATACTTAAGACCATAAGGCTCTTCAAAACGTAATGATCACCTAAGGCTCTTTTTTCTTGTCATATTTACTAGTTAGTATTTCAACCACAAAGTAACTAAAAACTTGCATTCCAAATTAAGCATCTTTAAATTTCATTTTAGGAAACCTGAAGTCAACTACTAAAAAATTAACTATGTGATCCTTTGAATTTTCCCTATTTAATATCTATCAACTAATTCTCAAATAATGTGTCCTTAATTTAGAACATGTTCATACTGTAATTCAAACCAGATGTAGAGGTACACTGGCTAGCGTGTTGGGACCCGACTGAGCCTGTGCCTGTATCTGTTTTTAAACTCACACCACATAATCTGAGGGCAACCGAGACTTTCTGTAACCTTCACTGACCATCTGTGACCCAGATAGGCAGGTACCCCCTATGAGAGGAACTTTGTGGTCTCCACCACAGAAGTCCAATTCCCAAGGCCGTCAGAGCCTTCTCAAAACCTCCCTGTGGTTTTCTTAAAGGGGGGATATTAGGAGGAGGAGATTATATGGGCTCGCTTCCCTTTTAAACTTAACCCTAAATAGCGTGTTGATTCTACAATAGACGAACAATTTGAACAGCAAGAGAGAAGGGGAAACAGACCCACTAACAGAACCTAAAGGGAGATCTTTCTGCATAGTCACAGCTTAAACTGAACCACAAAACTAAAAGGAAAGTCCAGAAAGAAGGCAGTCAGTCCCATTCTCTCATGGGTAGAACATCAATGGAAGACCCATGGGCCTGCCTAGCAGAGCTCTTAACTGGAGAAAAGACTACGAGGGAGTTCTACCATTCGACCGCAGGAAAGTTAATTTTCCTAAAGCAAAATATCCTTCACTTCCTTTGCGGAAAAGAATTTCACGAGGACTAAGGTAATGGGAAAACCTGTTGCTTAGAACTTTTAACTTGGCCTTGAAGATGGAAACTCGCTCTGAATGGGGAATGATGGAGGTAGCCTAGTTACAAAGAGCGGTGCACCAGCTAGCTTGCGTTTTGGTGCTTTCCTTAGCTGGTACCGTGACCCAACATCTGACTGCATCATGAGAAAGCAAACACACACCCAGCTGGCGTAAATAATAAAGCTGTAACTAAGAGTGCTGGAATCTGAGTAAAATGTCCTTAGCTAAAATGAGTTGAATGTTGTGGCTCAGGGCTCTAACTCCAGAACACAGGAAGCTGAGGCAGGAGGATTACAGTGAGAATTTGAAGCCAGACTGAGCTAGAGAGTAGATCCTGTTTCTCAGAAAAAAAAAAAAAAAAAAAAAAAACCTCAAAAATTTTAATTGCTCTTATTTTTAAGATTTTTGGGGTTTTTTCAGCCCCCTCATATTTAGTTCTTCAAAATTAGAGTTTAGAAAGTTATAAAACTAGATTTGTTAAAAACCTGATTAGGCAACAGATTTCTCGTAGCTAAATGTGGCTTTGTGGGTATGTTTAAGTGAATCATTTTACATCTTTCAGTTTTTACTTTATTTCTACACTGACCAAAATGTATTTTCAAACAGCCTTGCAAAAACTAGACTAGCCCTACTTTGGGACAACTGAGACATTGTTAGGGGGCTTCTTAGTGTGCTGTTAGTAAACCCGGAATTAAGCTATTCATGTGAGATAACTAATCACATGTTTAATTTATCTAGAGGTGTAGGTACCTTTCCATCTTTTTGTGTTTGCCCACACACATTGAAATTAAAAAATGTGTAATCATCTTTTAGCTCCACCTATCTCCCTGGGAAGGGGCATAAAACACACAGCCCCTCCAGAAAGGCTGCTGAGACCCCTGGCAGGTGGCTTCACGGGAGCCCTGGCCTGCATCTGCTGGGGAGCCCGTGGCACTGCCCTCTGCACATCGGCAGAACTCAGATGACACTGTGACTATCTGAGGCCTCTGCTGAGCTCTGGAAGAGATGAATGGAGAAAATTCTGCAGCCAGTATCAAGCATTCGTAGCCAGTCCGGGAATCGGATGAAACAGAGATGTTTTTATGAGCTGCAGACCTCAGCTGTGCCCGCAGCCATGTCCTGGGGTCTCTGTACGGCTGCCCAGTCCTGGGAAAGCTGCCTCAACTCACTTTCTTGACCATCCCTGTCTCTTCATTGGTTTAACCTCTACTATCGTCTCAGGCTACAGCTTCTTTTGTGCTAATTACACCCCTAAAATTGAAAGAATATCTCTTGACTTTACAAAGAACCCAAAGAAAACTGGCTTTAAAAACTAAATATAGCCAGTTTCTTTCAGAAGGCAGATGGCTGGACTTCTGGATGATTGTGCTATGGGGATTAATCGTAGATGGCCAGTTCATTTGCTAAGTCCCAGGTGTCTGAAGGATCCGGCCGTAGGGACATATAAAACCCTGTGCTGCTTTTGGGGAACACTTGTGTAGAATGATGAGGTCTGATTGCTGATGAATTTTCTTTTCCCCCAGCAGTTGTGAATTAAAATTTGCCAAGGATGACAGGCTGATCTAAAGTACCATGGCAAGAGGAAGTAAACGGAAGCCACTACCTGCTGGAAGTGTCTGTGCTCTGCATGGGGAAATACAAAGAAATGAGAAGACAGGAAAATCTTAACTGCTCGCTCTGGATCCTACGGCTGCAGCTGCCAGGGGTAAGCAGGTGCTGCAGTTGTAGCCCGTTCTCCATTATGAAAGAAATGGCCTTTTAAGCCAGGTGTAGTGGTTCACGCCTGAGATCCCAACGCTGAGGAGGCTGAGGGAGAGGCCAGCCTAGGCTACAAAGTGAGACTCTGTCTTTAAAACAAAAAGCCTTAAAAAACAAAACAAAACAAAAAAACCGGAATTAAAAAGGGTATATTGTCCCCATTAGCCAAGCAAAGAATGCATCTCGAAAAAATCCCTGAAGGGTTAATAAGTGAACACTGCCGACTTGGAGTGATTTATTTTTCCCAAGGAACATTAAATTGCTCATGCTGAAAGAATGTTACAGCTGTGACCTGGGGGCCGAATCTGGACACAGGCTGAAGTGACAGGTGTGCCCGATGTGTGCCCAGCCCGGCTGAAATTGTGAGGTCTAACTAGGATCCCCCCCACCACCACACACACACTTAACTGGTGGCAGCTCTTCAGTCAGCCAGAAAAGAGCTTTTACCACACAGGCACAGAAGACGATGTGTGTTCAGTCTTCAACATTTCAACTGTAATGTCCTAGGGGTTCAGTGACCTAACACCAAGAAATAAATACTGGGAAAGTATTCCTTCATCTATAGAGGAAATTAGCCCGCTGGGGTTGGGGACACAAGCAGGGCCTTAGCTGGCTCCTCTGGTGCATCCTGAGGTGGGAAATCCATACCCACTAGTTAAGGCAGCTGATTTTCCAGAGACCTTGGAAATAGAAAAAGAGGTCTAAGTGGGGCTTTAGACCGAACCCTGGAAGACCTAGTATGATGTCAACATGCTGGTGAGAGAATAACTTTGAATTTGAAGACCAGCCTAAGCCCTGATCGGGAGAAGAAGTCGTCTAGGCTAGGTTTGGATGAGTTAAGATAGACCCCAGTCAAAGCTGTGCTCCACCCTTTCCACTGACTCTCCACTGCCTTGAACTGTCTTTGGTCAAGATAGTTAAACCATAGAGCGAGGTTAATTGAAAACTTCAGCTGGGATCAAGAAACACCCCATCTCCTACCTAAATGGTCACTCCATATACTTTGGTCATTTAAAGGCATGCTAAATTCTAAAAGCCTACCTGACCCCATACTGGAGTTATTTAACATAAGCATCTGGGCAGTGCCCAGAGCAGAGTCACTTAAAGTAATTGTCACCCTAAAAATGAACTTCTTAAATAATCTTTATAATTAAATAACTATCAATGAGACAGATTGAAAAACAACAAAATGCAGATGAGTGTGATCCCTAAGCAGCCTTAATATTTTAATTTGTAACCATACCTTCATATTTAGTGTTATCTTCATTCTTAAATATATCAAATGTGAATCTTCCAACTTGGCAAAATTATATGTCCACTAGATTGATTGGGAGGTAGAGAAGGCAGAGAGAGGGGAGCTTTGTTTAAAAAGGAGAGAGAAACTCTACCTCAAATTTCTCTTCTAAAATGGATGTAAAAGAGACTTTGAGTGGAAAAAATAGATGTCTAATTTCTAAAATGAGAAAAACAAGAAAGCAAATCCGAGAGAGAAGGATAAAAAGAAACACAGGCAAACAAGCTAAAAGCAGTCTGACAACCCCAGGGGAAGAAATAAGCAAAATCACCATGATTTATCTTACTTGAACCCTAGCTTAACCTCCTCAATACCTGATAGCGCGGTGAGACCAGTCAGCAGCCATTCTTCCCCTTTCACAAGCATGACATTGATTTGTCTAGCAAAGACTCATTATTAGCATTCTGAGGTCTGCTTAATGGAGCTATAATAAATCTAAGTCATTAGTTCTTGACCTCTGGGGTTTTTTTCTCCAGGAAATTCTTGGTATGTGGTAAACTATCAAAATCACATTTTCAGGGGTTTGTGACGTTTACATAAAAATAAAGAATCAAGGCTGGCCGATGGAGGTCTGATCACATCTGAGCTCTGCCCCGCCTGCACCCCAGAAAGAAAATGAGGAAGACTGGCCAGGAGCAGTGTGGGGGCCTCCCCTGCAAGCTGAGGAGTTTGCAGACAGGACTCAACTGCATCAGGCTAAGCCGTGGAGGGAGCATGCCGCGGCCATCCCCCTTGCTCGTCTCCTACCTACCTGCCTGGCTCTTTTTGCACTGAGAAGACAAGCAGGGGAAACACCAGCATAGAAGGGTCTAAACAGGCTATGCAGATGAGGGGAGAGAAAGAGACAGAACTGATTATCCAGTCTCAGTCTGGTGACTTTAAGATTAAAAATGGGGGGATGTCAATATGTCCCAAATCAAAATCATGGACATTTTTCTTTTGTGATTAAAAACACTTCTCATTATTTTTCGCTAGCTGGATGGAGCCGGTTGTCACCTAATACAAAACATCAGGGAAAGGGCTTCAGTTTCCTCTAATTCTAAGATGGCTGTAGGCACTAGACAGACCTTCACTCCCGTAATGCAGCAGCTGCCTGGATGACCCGTCCCCTGTACACCTGCCCACAGGGACCAGCCTGCTTCTTGGTCTCTACCCCCCCTCTGCGGCAGACTTCAAATGGCTACCACAGAGAAGGCCCGAGACTTCCACGTCTTGTTCATGCGTAAGCTCCCTTCCCTGGCTGCCTGCATGGTCAGATCTCTCTGTTTCCTAAAAATTAAGTTTCCTTACAGCATGCAGGCTATGCTGGGGCCACACTGGGGCAGGTGGTAGCTGGGTGAACCGATCGGCTCAATTCAGGCACACTGCTTGTTTCTAGACAAAAACATCCAGACGTGGTTTTACAATTGAACTTTCGACCAGACTGATGGGATGTATTGGTGTCAAGAAGACAAAAACTCAAGTCAGAAAGGTCATTAGTGAGTGGACAATGGGACACTGTAAGGAGAGTGGGAAGAGCTACAGATTTCTAGCAAGAAAACCTGAGTGTTTAGGTTGTGCCAAATGACTCAAAATGTACCCGAGCAGAGCTCTGTACAGATGAAAGCAGGAATGTTTTTAGGGTTGTACTGTTTGCAGCATTTGCCAGTACGTGGCCAGGAGCCCCCCTTTTTTCTAGTGCTCTAATAAAATGTAAATGAGGAAGCCATCTAATCTCTACCCACATTAATTCTGACATGAGGAATGAGTCTGAGTCTTGAGACAACATTAGTACCTTTCCACCTCACACTACTGCATTACCTCGCTGTTTTTGAAAAGCCTCAGCATTTTCTTTTTCCAAAGCACCTGCTTATTGTTCAAAGGGGGACAGAGTCCTCTGACACTTTACCTATTCTAACACTGAAAATGCACAGTCCCCTAACTGGGCCTTCTCAGACCCCCCAAAATGGGTCACCTTTGTATCTGAGGCAGCTGTGATATTTTCCCCCCTCCAAATTACAATCGTTCTAAAGTAAAATATCTAAACAGGCAGAGTCATAAATCAGGATGCTTTCCTTGCATCTTTCTCCTGAACCCAAAATATTACCTTGAAAATAGAAAAACAAAACGAAAGAGGGTCTATCTTATTTCTCAAGGGCTTTTCCCATCGTGGAGCCATTAAAATCAGTGAGATCACTGTCCCTCCATGTCTGTAGCTGCCAGAATCACTGTGCACAGGGGCGGGAGCAAATTCCCGCTTGGACTTGGCTCAGCCGGAGAGACTGCTGTTGCTCTGGGTGAAGCAGATAGCTCCATAGCCCTGCAGTACCCCTCACCATCCTGAGACTCCCCCTCCTCCTGGAAGATGCTGCAGATGTTGCATTCTATTATGTTAATCCTCTCACTAAGTGCAGAAAACAAAGTGATTTTTACTTGTGAATGCCTGTAATTCACCTACCACAAAGCCCTAAGTCCCTGCGATTCATCAGCTGCGGGTTAATAATCAGAATTACAAGTGTCTGCAGGAGCATGCCAATGAATGAGGGGACTAAGGAGCCACAGGGAAAAAAATCACAAATTGTTTGGGGAAGTGACTGCATAGTTGTGTCCTGGGGTGGGGGTGGGGGTAAAGCATGACCATCAGTGCTTAATTCAAAGCTGAGGGTCCCTCTCTGTAGCGACATCACTTCTAAAGGCAGCCGAGATGAGCAGCTCGGCCGTCTTCTGCTCTCTGCCTCTGAGGCAGCCTGCACAGAGTGTTGCGATGACCGAGTCCTAAAGCGGAGGGAGTGGAGGGGAGGCACAAGGCAATGTGCGGTGCATGTCTGGTTTTCTGTGCACACCTGTCACCCCTGGGGTCTCACAGGTAACCTTGGACTCACGCATTTTACTGTTCTTTCTCTCTGATTCCCATTCTCAGAAGCCAAAGCTTTTTCCATCTCTGAGACAACATCTAGGATTTACTTTTTTTCTTTACTAGACACTGCCAGCCTAGCATTCTCAAGTGTCTTTGGGGAGTTGGAGCAAACCAGTGAGGGCCTTTGCTTGAAGATTACAGCGGGGTTAGAGATAAGGCCAGAGATGGGACGGGAAATGGGGACCTTCCCTGATTTTTTTTGCTTGTGCGGACTGTAGGTTTAAGTCTGCAACTCTTCCCCAGCCCAACACAGCCTCTGCCTGTGGGAACACTTGCCCCCTCACACTGGCTCTGTGTCTCTTTCCAGCTCAAGGCCCTTGACATGTAACAGCATATCTGACCTAGCCACTAACCTTAAAGAAAACATGATTTTCAACAATGGGTGTGTGAGGAACCACTTGAAAAGCCCTCCAGCCACTAGAGCTAGGCACCAGCGAGGAGGATTGCCTGTGGGTTCAAACCACCTGGTCCTACAGAGGGAAAGGGAGAAGCTAGCGCCTAGCAGGTGGCTCAGCTGCCTTGCAGGCCCCTCCTTCCCCTGACTGCTGGACTGTGAGACAGTCTCTGACCCCCTCCAAGGGAAGACCCTCCCCAAAGGCATCTATCACCCAGAGGGGACAGTAGCTTTGCCCTCTCCATCCCAGCAGCCCATGTCCCTTTCAGAGGCCTCCTCCCTCTCCTCTACCACAAGCCTTCTTTGAAAAAAAAAAACCCCAAAACCCATCTTCTTTCATCACAATTAAAGAGCTATCAGGAAATGGCAGGGCTATTTTGTTTTGTTTTTTTTCCCCTTCTGCTGCAATGACCCTCCTTCCCTTCCCCTCATTTGCTAAAGTGGTCCTTTCTCGGCCTGAAATAAGGCCCTTTGGTGATGAAAATTTTAGCTGGAAGCAGAGAGTTCTAAGGAGAACCCTAATGCTGGGAGGGTGAAGAGAAAAATTCGTGTTTTAAGCTGGTCTGTGTCTGCCGCAGGGCCAGCAAGGCCGCTATCATTGGTGAAAATGGTGGCCGCACATCACTGGCTTTGTGTCTACACAAGATGTCCTAATTACAAGTCCTTCTCAAGATCCACAGTTCAGCGAAACTTAGAGCCGACTGTCCCTGTCGACTTAGCTAAGGGGCAAGAGGAAGAAGCTATTTAGATGGAAGTGGAGAAGTCTGATTAGAGAAGATAAAATCCAAACACCTTTAATACTTGAAGGGAAAGTGGGAAAGCATGGCTGCTGGGTAATATTGTCACTGGCCTGCCATGGGCTTGCAATAAAGCTGTAACTTACACACATAATTAATTACCCTGCTCCTAGCTGAATGTCATCTAGCCACAGGGAGGGTCCTTTATGTGTGTTGTGGAGATTGAACCATTGAGAGGTCTTTCTAGAGCCATGTCTCATTTTGTGACAATGTTATTTTTGTTCTCTTAGCCATTACATAACTCCATGCAGGGCACATTTTGGGGGCGGGGCACCAAAGGACAAAACAAAAGAGCCCCACCTCTAAGTGATGCTGAACTCTGCTGTTAGAATCTGTGACATATATTTAAATACATATTATGGGTAGAATTCATAATATTCATCCTAGCCTTCAACTGTTTGCATTTTAAGGAAACTTGAGTGTCAGGAGCTTTCAAAATTAGCTTAATTTCCTTTTCCTAAAGATCATACATCTTGGAAAGACCCCATTTAAGTTACACTTGGGAACTTAATTGGCAGGCTTTTGGGTTTCTAGAAGGGTATGCTAATATCTGGCAAGTCAGAATGGCAATCCAGGCCTCCCTCAGTTGAATCATTAGCTGCTAATACATCTCTGAGTATCTCCCAGCTAGGTGTGAAACCAACCCCTGTCACTAAGCACCAGGCTCTCTTCCCAGATGTAACCACACAGTCAGGACGCTGTTATGAAGCTTGCCCACAACAAGGCTGTTTTGTGGCTTGTTTAGTGGTCTGGGCTGCTTCTTTCCTCTTTTCTCCATGTCTCCCATATGACAGGGAAAGGCAGTCACACAGCCCTGGGCAGAGGAGGACAGGTGATATTCTAAATGTCCCTCCCTGTTCTCAGAGCCCCCTGTCCTATTGCTGAGGACCTCATTATTAAAAATATGACTCGACCCTCATTTTGGCCTCACAGAATGCTTAATTAAAATGCAAATGTTCCTTAAGAGTAGCTCTATAAGCCTTTGCCAGCTAATGGGATTAAGTGAGCAGAACACAGCCACCTGCAGGCCTGTAAGGAGGCCTGGGCCGAATCCCCACCTCTCAAATTAACTGTGAGCTCATCTCTGAATATCTAGAATGAAAAATTCACATCTTCCCATTTCTCTTTGAAAGATAGATATTTTTAAGGAAAAATAAAAATTTAGGATTCTACAAACTTGAATTGTATTTATTATGGATTAAAACTTACCTAAGAGCATCTTCAATCCTGTCATCTATACATAACTTCCCCTGTCTTTATTTCCAATATTTTAAAAAATGGCCTTTTTATATATACATGCATATTTTGAAGGTGTGTGTGTGTGTGTGTGTGTGTGTGTGTGTGGTGTGTGGTGTATAAAACCTGCCGCGTATTGAACATTAGAGACTACAGATTAAGACATACTGTTCTAAGGATAACATATAGATAGCTTGAAAGTACTTGTGAGAGGGGAGCAGAAACAAAATTCTAGATATTAAAAATATATTTTTCTTTCTACAGAATTAATGGCGATACCTAAATATAGAACGTCTATCTGTTTTAGGGAACAGGAAAAAGAGGCTTAAGGTCTTGGATCTAAGATGGAGGATCAGATCAGAGCTGAGATGGAGGGCAGGCCAGATCTAAGATAAAATGGAAGGTTACAGCCAATGGGCAAGTCCTCTAGAATCAGGACTTCTGGCTACAAATCATAACTGTTTCCCTGTCCCACTAGCTGAACAGCAATCCTTGACACAGAAAGAAGATTTTAAGGTTGGGTGGAGGAATTTAAGCCCATTCCCTAAGAGCATTTGAATCCTGGAGGACACTCTTTGGTCCACAGAAAGCTGGTAGTACTCAGCACCATACCTCAGCTATAGCTCTGAAGCCCCTTCTGGAAGCAAGCCTATGCCCCTCAGAATAGCCATGAGTTTCCAGACTATATCTCCTACAAAAAGGCCTCGATTGGTGCTGCGACTGACGAATTTTTTCAGATCCAGGCTTACCCTGTAACTAGAGAAATCACAGCTACTCATGGATAAATTATCAGCCTCGGATTGGCACAAAAGTCTGGATGGTTAGTTATGCCTGTTCAATGCCTAGAGGTAGCTGTTTGCTTTGACCTGAGAAGATAGATCCTTCTGGGTTTTCTACAGTTTAATTACCAGAACTCACAATACTGTTATGGAAATTCTGATTAGTTTGCTCAGCTGGGTTGGAGAGCTCTTGCAAGGCTACTGAAACCTATCTTTTGACAATCTCTCCATCCTCTTAGTTGTCTCTCTTCTACAAAATCCCTTAGTAGAAATGACTCACCACTGTCAACTTCCTGGGTCTGTTTCTACTCAAGGGCCATCAAGGGGAACAACCATGTCTTAGATCTCTTTGGCTCCCCCATAGGGAAGGGCACATACCAGGTATTTAGTGTACGTGTGTATTGAATGAATGAATGAATAAAAAAATGCCCAACTTAAGGCAAACTCACCGACCCAGCAAGGACTCATCCTCTCGAGAGTTGTGACAGACACGTGCAGGGCTCCTGCATGCAGAGAGGCTACTGGGGAGGGAAAAGAGGGACGAGGCTATTTCCACATACAGGTTGACCAAAAACTTGGGAATAACTTATCAGTGAGGGAAAATGGGCTCACAAGCACTAAAGACTAGAAAGGATTCCATGTTCTCTGCCAAGTTGGACATAACCTACCTATGAGGTAAACGTGAGCTCTGCCAATGGTCAAAATTGTGAAAAATCAGTGACAACTGTTTTCACTCTGGGTCCATGACAGTGTGACTCTTTTCCTAAATCAGGCATGTCATTTGTACTCAATTTCCATTCAACACTCCCCAACAATCTATCTTCCTTCCTTCCTGAAGAACCACTGTGACCCCCCCCCAACTCTCCAGTGATTCCAAAATGTCACAGAAGACTCATTGTAGGAACATATTTGTGGTGAGTTCCTTCTCTTGGCTATTAGAATAGCAATTATGCCCCCTCCCAGCCATTTTGCTAAGTCTCAAAGCAATACAAATTCAGCACAAATCAATTAGCAACACATTTCTAACTCTTGGCACTTCCTGGGGAGGAGAGAACTTTTCCTGGTGGGGAAGCCTGAACCTTGAGAAGGAGCCCAGCACAGTCAGCCTGGAAGTCTGTGGCTGTGCTTTAATCAAAAGGCCCAAATGTGGGAGAAAGGGCCCTAGCACTAACCAACTGGGGCAAGATTTGGGTTGCTTTGTTTTCCTTCACTTGAGTAAGGGAATCACGCGTGGGGCACAGAGGCAGCTCATAACAATATTTGCCTCACTGTGGCCAGGAAGCTGACGCTCTGTTCTGTCCCTGTGTATCTGGATATGATGTCTCCCAGCCCCTGCCCTGACCCCAATGCTGAGCCACCAATCTTATCTCCTGTCTCCTCTGGCTTAATCCACCCTTTCTCTTCCCATCACCCCTTCCTTACTGGAGAAAATTGTCTTCCCTCTCTACTAAACTACCCCAGGAGAATAAAACTTGTTTTTCAAAGGGGAGTAGTGGGGTAGAAGAAAAGAAGGAAGGGGAAAAGGAAGGAAAAGACAGAAAACAATACCTACATGTGGGGTCTGGCTGATGCCAGTTCTCAGGACATCAGCCTGTAACTCAGGATTTCCTCAACTTCTGAGACTAATGTACAGGGTTCACCTTTAACCTTAGGATCACCTTGTCCTTGCTTTGTTCTGGATGCTTATGGAGTCAAAGGGCTCTTGAAGATTGGATATTTTTTAAGGACAAAAAAGGTCCATGGTGTGCCAGATTACTTAAAACAAAACAAAACCACTAAGTGGGTAAGGCATGTGGAAACACTTGGAAAATCAGATTTTGTGTGTGTGTGTGTGTGTGTGTGTGTGTGTGTGTGTGTCTGGGGTGGGGGGAGTGCTCCAAACTTCAAAATTAAACAAAATCATCAAAATCATATGGGACCAGGTAAGGAAATTAGAATAAGCACATAGGACCTATAAGAAAACAGAAGGCAGTGAACAGAGTGCCGGTCCATGGTGGTTCTGGCCTGCCTCAACTGAATGCCTCCTGGCCCCTGTCCTGGAACCTGGCCACCCTCGGCAGCCCGCCTTCCTTCTTCTTCTCAGTTAAGCCCAGTCAGCCCTCAGCTGTGCTGGCCTGCAGCTCATGGCAGCTGGTTTGTCCCAACTTGGGACAGCTATTATTATTTGCAACCCAATCCTCCTCTTGACTAGAAGTTTCCACAGGGCAGGGACCTCATCTGGAGCTTAGCACCAAACTTGACAAACGTGCCCTTTCTTTTTTCTTATCTCCCTTAATTTTATTTATTTTTTATTTCATTTTTGTGCTTTTTCTCTTCCTTTGAACTTCTCTCTCCCTCCTCTAACCACCAACAATAAAGTACTGGCTAGGAGCTGATTTTAACTGACAAGTGGTTCTCAAGCACTCTGGGATTTCAAAAGCTCAGAAAAGAGGAGAGAAGTGGGGAGGGAGAAGAACTCAGGTTCTCTTCCCCTTTTCCAGCCCAGTAAAAAGGCCGAATGTGCCAAGGGTCTGGGAAGAGATGACAGAATGTGGGAACTGGCCGGCATGTGTGCCTGGGGTGGGGGAAGCAAATAGAAGTCTGCAAAGCGTGGTTAACAAATACTTACTAGCCGTACATCTGGGTGAAGAGTTACAGGTAAGGAGTAAGATCAAAGAAGAGTAAGGGCAGGGTTGGAGCATTACCTGCCGGCTTAGTGTCCTTCAAGCCAGAAATAGAAGTTTTAGAAGAAAAAGGGTCCGGCCAATGTGGGGTGTGGGTTTTCTGTCCTGTGGGAAGTGAAAGTGGGCAGTCTGTCCCCTGAGGGAGAGTTCTCTAAGAGTGTGGTCCCCTGGAGGAAGGTTTTTTGAGCTGAGAAAGAAACCCACCAAATAACAGATCAAAGCCTGTGTTCGTCCTTCAAAGCTCAGAGTGGCAGCATTACTGCTCAAACTGAGCCCCAGGGACCCAAGACAGGATGACACTCCAGCTAGGGACACCCCTGAAATGTGGGGCTTGATCCTGCTTAGGCTTCCTACGTTTAGTCTAGAGAATTCTATGGATTTACACATTTTCAAACAGGCCCAGCTATTCCAAGGCTCTCTGCTGACCTCTGGTGGGTAGGAACTCCACTGGCCCAGAGAAGGTGCTAGAAAGAGCAGTCCAGCTATACCCATATCTACTGTAACACCTGAGGGGAGGGGACGTCAACCTGCCCACTGCCAGCCCTCAGGGTCACAGATTGGAAACCCCAACGAGGGACAGGATCAAGAAAAGCCTTAATTCCCAGGGCGTCGGGCGCGGGGGGGGGGGGGGGGCGCACAGGCAAGACAGAGGAATGCTGGAGTAAAGTTGTTTTTTAGAAAGTTGAAGAGCAGAGTATGGGAATGCCTGCCTGGATTAACCCTTTTGATGCTTGCCTGAATTAACCCTTTTGATGCTTGCCTGGATTAACCCTTTTGATGCTTGCCTGGATTAACCCTTTTTATTTGGTTCCTTTGACTTTTCAATTTTAGGAGAGTGGTGGAGGGGAGAGCCTATCAGAATGGGGAACTGAGGCTTGGTGGAAAAGGACTAAGTTCCTAGCAGAGAACTCTATGGCCCCTACCTAGGAAGTCCACACGGCCCCCCTCAAGCTGTTGAGGAGCAGGCAGAGTAGCGGGATCAAGGTAAGTGCAAAAGCACTATCCTCAGTACCAAGGGACTTAGCCCTGCATTGTCCTGAGGTGTCTGAATGCCCTCTCCTCCAAGGAGGCTCCTGGGGTTTCTCCTGGAAACATAGTTTGTGCATCTTGGCTGCTACAGAGTTTCTCTCATGGATGGAAAACCCCCAAATGGTTACTCATTTGTCATAGGACAGAAGATGGCCCCCAAAATGTCTTTTCTATGCTACCTGCCATTTTGGGAAGGGCACATCAAAGGTGAGTGTGTGGGGGACATGGGAGGGGGAGCTGATGCCCTCTTTGACTTGGACTTTTCCTAAGAGAATTAAAAAGTTTGAAAATGAACAAAACAGCCCTCTCTCCTTTCCAGAAGAGGGAAACTGGAACCCAGGGGATAAAGAGATGTGCCCAGAGTCTCAGAACTGACAGAACAAGGACACAGCACGGTGGATCTAGAGGTTAAAGCTACACGCTTGGAAGGCTTCCTCGTAGTCAAACCTTCCCGGCCTGGATAAAGTCTACAGAAGTACCAAAGTGTGTGTGTTGGGATGCGAGGGGGGGTGGGTGGGGGCTTGTCCTCAGATATCAATTGCTTGACTGAAAACCTTAAAAAAAAATATATATCCCTAGGCCTTCCCCGGGGAAGGAAGGGGAAGGGAAGGAGGGGGATAGCACTCTGCCTAAGGCAGCGCAGGCGTGAGTTTTATACGGCAGGCTCTCAATTGTAAATGCCGAGCGCCATCTGCCAGCCAGTTCAGAGCAGCCTTGCTTTGTTAGAGTTTTTTTCAATTTCCTAGTCCTAAATAGTGGGTGTTCTAATTTCCTTCCTTTTAAAAATATGTATATTTAAAACTTTGTTTAGAAAGTCCTCCCTCATACAAAAAAAATCCCCCCCCCCTTTAAAAAAAATCTCAGGATAGAGAGAAAAGTAAGATAAAAGAGGGGAGCAGGGAAGAAGCCAAATAGGTAACATTCCTCAGGAGATCTGATTTCTGTCACCCATTTCTGAGCTTTGTGAATTTAGGAGACAAATGACATGGGCCCCCTTTTCTACCTATGACAGCGTTGATGGTGTTCCCTCTCTTTCCCAGCACCTTAACATGAAAGCTCACATCCCGATTTGGGGAAACCAGCATAGGAGTTGGGGATGAAGGTGTTTCCTGTCTGTCACCTTGAGTCCTGGGCTGAGTCTTAGCTACAGTGGTTTTGGATCTGTCTGCCAAATGAATAGAGGGTTTACCTTGTCCCTGCCTTTCTCAAGCTGTTCCTGACCTATCCCCACCTTGAGGTGCTTTATATATGTAAAGGTAAAAACAGAAAGTTTCTGATTTCCTTTTGAACAATTCTTCCAGTTTAGGTCCCTCTCTGACCATGGCAGGGACCTCAGCATCAACATGTAGCCTTGTCAATACTTTGAGAATCCATCTTTAGCCTTTCCTGAATGTCACTTGGCAAGTACATGGAATCTTAAGTGTTAGAATCAACTAAGGCCCCAAGAGAGCCCCCACTGCCTAAGCCAGTGCTCTCTCCATCCTCCTAGGACCCTCTCCAAGAGTTGGGGTGTCTCTGTCCACACCCCAACACACCCATTGTCAGACTCTTCTCCACTGGGGGAATAGGAGGAGTCCCATCAGGAATATTCCCAAATATTCCTACTAGAAAGGGGGAATCCCTCTGAAGTGTCCATCTTAAATCCTGACCTGCCCATCTGTCTGGCAAAACAAAATGATCTTCTGTTCTTTCTAACAGCTAAAAAGAAAGAATTGTCAGCACATGAATGCTTAATTATAAATAGCCAAAAGTTTCTTTGGCTCCCCAACTTTAAAATATTTTCCCCTAACATCTGGCATTTGTTTTTGGGCTCGGCCCTGAGTCTTCTAAGCATTTCCTTGGAAAGATGTTGTGCTTGGTCTCAGGCAAAATATCAAAATCAACATTCTGAAGTTTGGCCTTGAGCAGTTTTTCAGACTCTGCAATGAGGAAGTTTTACCAAAAGTTAGGGGCACTTCACTTCCAGAGCTTGAACACTCAGGCGAGGCTGTAAAAAGTTTTTATTTCAAACATTACTTTCTATTTTCCAGGTCCAACATCCACCTGGTCAAACTGTCAGTCCATTTCTAATTTTTATGTTAACAGCCAAGACACTTAAATGTGTTTGTCTGAGTACCTTATCTTACTTTTTCTGATCTTTGCAATGAACTTGGAGGTACAAATTTTGAATTCTCTAATGGGAAAAAAAGCCTTTAAAAAAAAATTAAGAACTTGGTGTAGAAGGCATCCTTAGTATGATCAAAGCTGAAGTCCCCTTGTCAGAGGGGAAGTGGCTAGGTACAGGTTGGTGGGTCAGGCCACATAAGATGACAGTTTGGCCTCCTTCTGATTAGTGGTCATTGGCTATAAATGCTGTCTTAAGGTTGGGGAGTTATCAATAGTTTATCAAAGACTAAGTGCAAGACTTGCCTGGGAAATGTCCTCGGGCTGTTACTTCTGTTCTCTTTCTCAAGAATCTTAATTCACCCTCTTCAACATAGCTATCTTCCTGCACCAGTCAAAGGTGGTGGTCACTTTCCCATGGCAGACTGGCTCTCATGGCCCAGGAGTAAGGAGACCCAACAGGGCCACATTCTTACTGTTTGTGGAGTACTTGAAAGGCAGGGCTCCATGCACATGCTGCGTAGCCTTCCTGCCTGCCTGGCCATCCATTTTTACAACGGGAGAATTGTTAGTGCACACTAGACAGAAGAAGAGTTTTTAGCCTGCTACACACTAAGGCTACCTAATGAGCCCCTAGGTATGATCATGTAAGGGTTAAAATCTCCACATGTCCCTGATACTGCCTACGCATTGATTAGTTAGACATTGACTTGGCTAATCAGAGTCCTAGACCAACTCATTGCTCACGTCCCTGAAATAATTTCCTTTTCTATTCTATTTAGGGTCATCTGGGGGTCACTCTCTGAGATTTGTGGAAATTGCTTGTACCTAAGAATGCAGGCCATCAAAATTAGTGTGCACATTGCTGACTGACTGTCACCCAGGGGACAGCTTTTCCTCAGAAGATTTCTGGGTGTGCAAGTTACATCATGGGTAACTTCTGGCTTCCCCAGAATATGGTACGGATGCTATGTGGACAGCAGCTCTCAACTATTGGTGAGATTTGGTAGTGATTAGGATAAGTGTTGTCATTGTGTGTGTGTGTGTGTGTGTGTATTAGTGGGATGTGTATGTGGGGGTGTATGTGTGTGTTGTGGGGTATATATGTGTGGTAGTGGGTGTATGTGTGTGTTTAGTGAGGTGTATATGTGGTAGTGGTGTATGTGGTAGTGGTTTGTGCATGTGTTTAGTGGGGTGTATGTGTGGTAGTGGGGTATGTGTGTTTAGTGGGGGGTATGTGTGGTAGTGGGGTATGTATGTGGTAGTATGTATGTATGTTTAGTGGTGTGTGTGTGGTAGTGAGCTATGTATGTGGTGGTTGTGTGTGTGTGGTAGTATGTATGTGTGTTTAGTGGCGTGTATATGTGTTGTTAGTGGTGTGTGTGTTTGATAGTGAGGTATGTATGTGATGGTGTGTGTGTGGTAGTGGGGTATGTATGCGGTAGTATGTATGTGTTTGTGGTGTGTGTGTGTTTGTGGTGTGTGTATGGTAGTGGGGTATGTATGCGGTAGTATGTATGTGTCTGTGGTGTGTGTGTGGTAGTGAGGTATGTATGTGATGGTGTGTGTGTGGTAGTGGGGTGTGTATGTGGTAGTATGTATGTGTTTGTGGTGGGTGTGTGTGTGTTGGTGGGGTGTGTGTGTGTGTGTGTGTGTATTAGTGGGATGTGTATGTGGGGGTGTATGTGTGTGTTGTGGGGTATATATGTGTGGTAGTGGGTGTATGTGTGTGTTTAGTGAGGTGTATATGTGGTAGTGGTGTATGTGGTGGTGGTTTGTGTGTGTGTTTAGTGGGGTGTATGTGTGGTAGTGGGGTATGTATGTGTGTTTAGTGGGGGGTATGTGTGGTAGTGGGGTATGTATGTGGTAGTATGTATGTATGTTTAGTGGTGTGTATATGTGTTGTTAGTGGTGTGTGTGTGGTAGTGAGCTATGTATGTGGTGGTGTGTGTATGTAGTAGTATGTATGTGTGTTTAGTGGCATGTATATGTGTTGTTAGTGGTGTGTGTGTGGTAGTGAGGTGTGTATGTGGTGGTGTGTTTGTGGTGGGGTGTATATATGTTAGTAGTGGTATGTGTGTTTGTGGTTGGGGGTGTGTGTTGGTGGTGGTATGTGTGTGATGGGGTGTGCATGTGTGTGTGTATCTGATATCAGAGGAAACATCTCTCAGTGCACAGAACAGGACCTGCCCCCCATGGAAAAATGTCACTTGGGGCTGCTTGGAGAACCCCTTCTGTTCACAGAGCCCCTCAGAATGCTCCTAAGACCCCAGCATATAGCTAATGGGGATAAGTCACAGCTTAAAGCATAAAAAGGACAGGTCTGAGTAAAGCTTCGGAGGCCCATTTGGGCTCCATTTTGGGGGTGGGGGCAGTGCTGAAGGCAAAGTGGGACCCTCTCCTGGCTCTCTCCGGCCGCGCATGGTGCCACCGTGGTTCCGCTTATGCTGCCTCACCATCTAGTGGCCAGCCGCAATATCAACCCATGTTCACTGTCTTTTCTAAAGCTGGTCACTGAAAAATTCTTATTTGGGCTGACGGTGGGCAGGAAGCCCCTGCATGGCAAATGTGATTTTGCTGATAAGTTGTCTAGGCCTACCCTAGGCCTAGCAGCGCTAGAGGAAGGGCAAACATAGGGTTAGGATGGACACTTCCTATGATTTAAAAACCCCACACATGCTATGAAAAATAAAAACAAACCCTCAAGGGACTAATTACAAAGAGGGTCTCCCTGTCCTAAAGAGGAACTCTGAGTTCAGCGCTATCTCTCTGACATGCAGCAATTACCATATGTAATTACCGATTAAAGATGGCGCCTACTTGAAAGGATGCCTTTGAATAGTACCAGTAACTTTAGTACCTATCTGCTTCCTGCTTTCCAAGTGATGCCATCTATTCTTGACTGATTTCTTTTGGGGGAGGGGGTTATTTTCTTTGTTGTCAATGGGACCAATAAATTACTTTTACTGCTTTAGAAACTGGGGACCAGGGGCTCTGGCGGAACTCTAGGTGAGCTGCAGGACACTTACTCCTTTTTCTTCTGAGGCTCTTCTTGGGTCCTTGACTCTTTTTCAACACTTGGCTTTGTGTTTTGTGTGTCATGATCATGATCGTTGTACCTTGTGTATTAAGAATAAAAGAATACTACTACTTGGGACTTACCTGGACACAGGTTACCTGTAAGGATGTTTCCAATCACACAGTAGTGAATTGCAAACTGCTCACATAGGAAGGAGGCGAGAAGTAGTAGATCTTTGACAGAAGGCACAGGAACGACCCAAGCAAGTGACAAGAAGCTCCCGCTGATCGCATTCTGATGTCCTCAGCAGCAGCAACCAGCAAGTTCAACTGTGACAATCCTGGGAAGGTAGGTATGGAAGCTCGTCTCTCCCATCATCAAGTCATTAGAGGAAGTTTAAAGCACTTACTCTGTCCCACACATTTCATGTGTGGGACAAATGTCAAAAACATTGACTGACTCATATTAAATTTGAGATCAGATAACAATTTATAATACTTTTATACCTCTCTCCTCACCCAAAATTGAATCATTAAAAACATTTAGTAAGATCCAACGTTCGAGTTCTGTGGGCAGAACTCTGCAAGTCAAAAATACTCCTGAATCCTCCTGAGGCTTAACAAATGACTCTATAGTACAGTCTGGGATTTTACCTCTATGTACAGCAGAAGCGAAGCCCCTTAGTTCTCACTGCTGTCTCACAGAGAACTTGCTTAGCGTTCTTCCTTGGTCACAGCACGCAGTGAAGCATGAGTAGAGCACTTGGAGTAACTCTAACTTCAAAGGTCTGTGCCTCCTGTGTGCTACTCCCCAAAGACCAAAGCGTTCTGTGTCCCCTATAGCCTGTGATGATTTGGTAATAATTGAAAGTCAACATGGTCTTGGGGTGCGGGTCCCTACCTTTCTGTCGAGGGGCTTGTCCTCTTGGGTTCCCACTGGCTGATCACCTGGCTTCATCACCTGGCTGTTGAGAAAGAAACTAAAAAACACTTTTTTTTGGCATGTAAAACCACCACAGAACACTCTCACCCAGATCTTTGAGCTAAGTCATAATACTGAATTGAATTAGATGGGTACTGATAGAAGACGGGAGGGGAGTACAGGAATGAATTACAGGTGACACTTTTTCAGGACACATTTAAAAAGTGACTCTCCTCAGTTTTGTTTTGTTTTTTTGTTTGTTTGTTTGTTGTTTTTTTTTTGCACCACATTGCCTGGGAGTGATTCTGTATACTCACAAGTTTGGCAAGGTGTCATTTGTCTGTTGCTTGAGTTGAATTTTGTGTACAAAGAGTACTGTGAACTGTGAAAACGAGACAAATGGGGTGCTCAGGCTTTCTACAGCTTAAGTTAATGGAGAATACGCAAGAAACAAAACCTCACTTGGAATAGGGAGGGGAAAAGTCAAAGAGAAAAAGAAAACTTCTAAAAACAATACTCAACATCAGGGGGTACTTTTATGTGAGACACACTGGACTCAGTCAATAAAAACTTCAGTTCTAACATCTGGCCCTTCTTTTAGGAGAATTAAGGGGGGGAAGTCCTATCCTCTGATCCTTCTGGAAATTTCCCTCCCTCTGGCCAGCCTGCATCTGAAGTTGCTCACTAGTATTAGCACTCCTAAACTAAAGGTCTTGCAGATTCTTCAGAAGAACTCTCTAAAGAAAGGCCAGATCCATTTTCTTCTTATTCCCTAAAGAGAGCTTGATCCTAGGTCAGAGGGCCACAGGCCAGCCTAGGGATGCAAAGAGAGCAAAGGCTCATTCAGTCCAGTTCAATGAAACTTGTCCAGGTGGGTGTCAGGACCAGAGTCCCAGTGCCTGTTGCTGGGAGGCCCATAAAGGGTTAATTAGATTGACCACTGCTTTTAGTCCCTCCTCCCCTTTACCCTGTCCTTCCAGTTTGGAAAACTTCTGCTCTACCTGAGAAGTTTTATTTTAAAATAGGCAAAAAGCATGCTAACTTTTATTTCATTAAAACCCTGGAAGGGGGGGCAGGGTGTGTTTGGGAAGAACTGTACCTTTGCCATACGAGATCGGACAGATTCTTCAGAAGAACTCTCTAAAGAAAGGCCAGATCCATTTTCTTCTTATTCCCTAAAGAGAGCTTGATCCTAGGTCAGAGGGCCACAGGCCAGCCTAGGGATGCAAAGAGAGCAAAGGCTCATTCAGTCCAGTTCAATGAAACTTGTCCAGGTGGGTGTCAGGACCAGAGTCCCAGTGCCTGTTGCTGGGAGGCCCATAAAGGGTTAATTAGATTGACCACTGCTTTTAGTCCCTCCTCCCCTTTACCCTGTCCTTCCAGTTTGGAAAACTTCTGCTCTACCTGAGAAGTTTTATTTTAAAATAGGCAAAAAGCATGCTAACTTTTATTTCATTAAAACCCTGGAAGGGGGGGCAGGGTGTGTTTGGGAAGAACTGTACCTTTGCCATACGTTTAAAAAAAAAATTAGAAACTAATTTTTATTTGCTAGTTGTGTGTCTCCTGAAAGGCACTAGAGATATGTGAAAAGTTAGAGTTTTGCTTGGGGGGGGGTTACATTTTATTTGGAGGGGCATTTGATTATAGAAGGAAGGGTTGAGGAATGGGAGTTTCAATTTTAATCAGTCAGGTTACCTACTCTTTTTATTACCAACTTTACAAAAAAAAAAAAAAAGAAAGAAAAAGAGAGAAAATGTTACACATTAGTTGTAAGGAAACAAATCTTCCTCTCCTTTTCCCTTCAGAGAAAAAGTTATTTGGGGCTGTGTGATCCTAATCCTATTGGCCAGAATGCTATATACAAAAGCATTACACATTCAGGAATTTATGCATAAAGGCTACTGCATCTTATCATTCTTAGTTTATTATTGTTGTTGTTGTTGTTGTTGTTGTTATAAAGGCTACTGCAACTAATCATTCTTAGTTTATTGTTGCTGTTGTTGAGTAAGAAGAAAAGCTTTAGGCCCTGCTAAAAGAAACTACTGGGAGATTTTTTTTTTCCCCAAAAATGGTGTTAAGGAAAACCTGCATTAAAAAAAAGAAAGAAAAAGAAAAAAGGAAGATAAAAGAAACAGAGTCCGGCAAGCAGAGCACACAGCTAGCAGTGCTGGCAGATGAGCTGGGGAGATGTGGAAGTTAAATTCCCACAGCAGTGACAGAAATCCCAGAAATGGGGAGTTCACATTTCATGTGCACTCAATGGACATTTGTAATCAGTGATCTGTCAGGCCTGGTTGTAATTCCAAAAGCAGCAGACTGCTAGACACCTGTCATTTGACAAGGGATTTTAAGATCACACAGCACTTACAGAAAAGCATGCTTCCACTTAGAGAAGGCTGCCCGGTACCATTTTCTCATGTGCTTGGTGAGCATGAGTCAGAATTAGAGGCCTAGGGTCTTGTGAGCACTTACCTTGCAATCTTTGAGCCAAAAAAAAGTTCCTGACATTTAATCTCTCCTTTGGGTTCAAATGCTTATGAGATGGGGTGCTGTGCGTGGTGCTTTGACTGTTCAAAACTATTTCAGAGGACAAGACAGAAGCCTTTTAAAAATGCAAAATGTAATCAGAAGGTGTCAGCATGATCATCCTAATCACTGTCAATGTTGAAAGCAGTGAGATGTTTTTTCCTTTCTTTAAGCTGGGGAGGGACAGGAGATGGCCCCCAATTCTCTAGGCCAGATGCCACCCTTTCATGGCAGTTAATATGGACAAAATTTTTTAATTAAATAAACAAATCTGGAGACCCTGTCTCAAAAAGGCCAATGATGAACTGTGCTGTAGGCCAAATAAACCTTTCCTGAAAAAAAAAAAAAATTAAAATAAAAAAAAAATCCATACAGGGAAAAAAAAAATGTTTTTGAGAAAAATTGGATTTTTCCAAAGGCCTCTGAAAAGCATGGATGCCACTGGGAGACAGAAAAGAAAATAATAAAGATCTTCCTTAACTGCAAAATTTTCTTGGGCCTGATAACCTGTCCTCTCCCACTGCACCAAACAGTTCAGTTGGAGGCTCTTTGAATCCAGAAAAAAAAAAAAAAAAGACTGCAAAAAAAAAAAAAAAAGCTCTTTTGCACGTCGAGATGCAGTATAGTGCTGCTGTTGCATGGGGCAGTCAAATAAATTGTAATTTAATTACTTATGATTCGGTGTATAAAGTTTCAGTGAAGAATGGTCATATTATATATAGCATTCATCTGCATAGCTATAGTCAAAACAACAGATATGAGTAGCCCCCTTCAATTTTTAAACCAGGGAATCATTCCTAAATGAGATTTTTGAAAAGAAAAAAGGAAAAAAAAAAAAAGGCCTAACTCATATTTTTTAAAAAGGCCAAGAGAAACAGGAAAACAGTCTGTGATTGATTGGATTGAGTTAAGAAAAAGGCTTCATCTCTAGATATTACAGAATTTTAATTAAATTATTATCTATTTTATCTATCTGTGTATCTATCTATGATCTAACTTGAAATAATTTTCAGCAATGTGATGTTTGGGCAATAAAAACAGAATATGCGAACAGGAAAACACTTTAAAAAAAAAAAAAGAAAGCAACGAATGAATGTGCATGTCACCAGTGAGAAGCCATGTCAAAGGATGCCATTTGATCTGCATTTCCAGGGGTCAGCACCAAGGGGCATCTTGTCTTAACGTTGGGACTAGAGAGCTAGTAAGAAGCCTTGTTGTAAATATGAGAAAACCCTAATCTCCTATCTCTCCCCGTCCCCAATCAATAACGGGACCCAGATATAATCCCTCTGTTGTTACCTCAGTAAAATGAAACCAGACTGGTGGGAAACTGCAGGCTGCTTTGACAGGCAGTGCTGCTGCAGTTTCAGGAAGCAGGGAACGATGGCTCAGGCTAGGCCTAGGCCAAGGCTGATCTGCCTTTCTCGTGGACGATGCTGCACTGGAAAATGGGTGATTACTGACCTCCAGGAAGCAAAGACAGGTGCCAAGGTAGCCTGGCAAATCTGCTTTTGTTATGATTAATTTTCCCCTCTAGAGACAAATCTAGCCGAGGCAAAGAAAACCTCTAGTCTTGTGAAAACCTGGCCCCAGACATGAGTTTTCGTGCAGGGAACTGCAGAATGGTGAGAATAAACCTCCACCCCCCCACACACACACCCCCACTCCCTGCCTTAGAATTGGGTGGGGGCAAGATAGACAACCCAAAGCCTGGTGCTGAAGGACTCTGGAGTAAAAATTTGGTGGGAGAGTATTATTTCTCAAATGAGGCAACTGAGGCCCCAACATGGAAGGAGGACTCTCCAGTTGGCTAATTAGAAGTCAGGTGTGCACAGTCACTTGGGCCATCTCTCTGCAGACAGTTGTGTCCCTCCTCTTCCCCTACCTCACAAGTCAGCTTCCCAGAGCTAAGCCTGGAGGATAGAAATGTGCCTGTGGTAGCCGGATGCAGTGAACTTAGAGCGTTGACATCTAAGGTGCTGTGGTTTCCATGGAGCAGGGACCTTAAACTATCTCCCTATCTCTCTCCTGACTTTTAAGTCACCAATGTCATTTTTCCCCCTGAGGAAGGCATACATAAAATGACCATCCCATCTGAAATGCTGATTTGTAGGAGGCACATCACAACAGCACAATCATGTCAATAACGTCTTTAATAAACACCATCTCAGATGATAAAATATTAACAAACAAATGTAACACAGCCTCAGAAAATGTGATCTTGAAATCCCTTGACAGGTCTTAGAGAATAAAATAAATTAATTGTGGAGATTTCACTTGTGAAATTTTTATTTAAGCCACAGATCTGGACCATTGTTAATTGCTGTTTTGATTAATTGTGGCACCGAGGAATGAGTAAATCCCTCAGGTTTGAGAGAAGTCTAGAGGGGAGGGGTGGGAGGGGCCTTGGCTGTGGAGTGAGGGGAGGGGTCTTGGAGAGGGGAGGAGACAGAGCTGGGGGTTGGGGGAAAGACAGGGGAGGGGGGAGAGGAGGGCAACTAAAGGCCCTGGTTGGCATATCATTAGTTTAATCTGCATCTTAATATCTTTAATTTTTAAATCCAAAATTGATTTGCTGAAGGTCTTACCTTAGATCTTCCTTGCCTTCAGCTGTAGCTGCTTGTAAAGAAATTCATATGCAAACATTTACATAGTTCTCAAGTATATTTCTAGCTCCCCACACACTGTCCACACACTCGGGGTCCACTCAGAGTATTTAATTTTTTAAAAAAAAATTTAATTTGCAATTCAGTCACAAAGATAGCATGACACTCCCAACACACAACGCCCACCTTTTTAAAACCAAGCCCTCCGACTGTAGACTGTTAAAAACGTGATTGGCTTACCTCAGGCTCCTCGCTAGGAAGAAAATTATTTCATATTTTTTAAACATAACCACGCCCACCCCCTTGGTTTTAGATGTGGCCTTGCCAACCATGTTTAAGTGTCCCCCTCCCCCCACCAACCAGGTAAGCTGTATGTGTGCGCAGAATACAGAACACAGATGTGTACAACCCCAAGGCCCCAGATACCTGAGTGTCTGGTTTTTCAACCGTTAAGGCGGGAGGGTTTGGTGAACGAATTGAGAAGTGAGGAAATGCTTAGCGCAAAGGGGGAAAAAGAGAGAAAGACATACAGGAAAAAGGTTATGGAGGCCCGCGGCTGCGGCCCCTCTCCCCCCCCCCCCCCGCCCCGAGGGCCCGGGCCCCCGCCCCCCCCCCCCCCCCCCCCAGCCAGCGGCCCAGCAGATTACCCAGGATGCCCCGCCACCTTTCCCTGCGCGTTTTCACTCTGCTTTCCGCAGAGAGTCCGCGCACAGGTACCACTGAGTGTGCCAACACGGAAAGTTTTTGCCCGCGCCATGGCGCAAATCACAAGACAGCGCGTTTCGGAGTACAAGTACACACAGTCGGCGGGTAGATTGGGGGTGCCAGGGATGAAAACACTGAGCATGTCATGCACAGGCGAACACAGAAAATGGACACCAACACACACCAACGACAAGCTGTCTGAGTCCAAGCAGCCGTGCCAGGCGAGGCGGGGGCGCGCACCCCGATGGCCCTAGCCCACCGCGGCCACAAACAATCAAGCCAGGGGAGCCCCGAAGGGCCCTCCCCGGCAGTTCCTGGCTCACCTGAAGCCCCCGCCTGTCCAGCCTACGACCGCTGGCGCTGGCGCTGGCCGCAGCGCTGGCCTCCGGCCGGTAACGACCACCCTCGCTCGGCACCACTTTTCTCCCTGGAGGGTATATACTTCGGCCACCCGAACCCTTCCAAGGTCCCCTCCCGCTCCCAGGGCAGACTTGGGGTCCCTCCCTGGAACTTCTATCAGGGCCTCCCTCCACACCCCTCCGCCCGTGGTCGAGGCCCAAGCCCCACAGGGCGGCCCTGCCACCCCCTCCCCGGGATCCCGGGGCGGCCCTGCTGCCCAGGGGCAGAGTCCGCCGCATTACCTAGAAGCAGCAGGCGGTGCGTACACATGTAGTCCATCTTCTCCTCCTCGAGTTGTTTGTCGATGAGCTTGCTGCGTTTCTTGTCTGCGCGCTCCTGCTCTCGCATCTCAATGGCTTCTTGGCGCATCTGTTTGCGCCTCTCCGCCATAGGATCTTTCGGGGGGCTCCGGGACCTGGACTCGGAACTCTCGCAGAGGCCGAAGCAGCTTCCGAAGGTTCGGGTGAAGAAGTTGCCGACAGACTGGCTGCGGGGCTTGCTGGGGCGGCGGCTTCTGCGCAGAAACCACTGGAAGCAGCCGGTGGCCCCTTCTTCAGACTCGTCGCTGGAGGAGTCGATCTCGCAGATGACTGACACATCCTCGTACCTGCGGCGGCTTCGGCCCCGCTCCGAGCTGTCGGGCCAGGCTGACGGGCGAGGAGGCCGTGGAGTAGGCGGATCAGCGACCTGGATCTCGGGGCTGGGGGGTCTGAGATGGGTTCTGCTGGGGCCCGCGGTGACCACTCGGCCGGCAGTGACCGCCCGGGCGGCGGAAGCTGCCCGGGCGGCAGCAGCTGCGCGGGCAGCGAGGGTTGGCCCGGCCCCGGGAGTGGCAGAGCGAGACCTGGCATTCCAAGCGACAGGACCCGAGTAGATGGCCCTGGCAGTAGAAGCCCTGAGGGCTGACATTGTAGGGGCTCCGGGGACGGCCCCGGCGGCCGGGTGGGCTGAAGCAGCAGGGACAGCCCGAGCGAGGAGGTTGGCTCGCGTAGCCGGGACTGGCTTGCAGACGGGATCTGGTCGAGGCGCTGGGACCGGCTTGGAGACGGGCTCTGCTGGCGCAGCTGGGGGCTCGCGGGCTGCCCCGGAGGCAGGATCTGCTGGGACGGCTGGGGCCGTGCTGGCGGGGATTGCCGGGGAGAGTGGATCGGCCGGGGCTTCTGCGGCTTGCTCGCCTTCGGGCTCGGCTGGGGAGGCAGCGGCCGCCCCGCCGTCAGGATCCGCTCGGACAGCGGCCGCCGCCGGGACTTCGGGCTCCGCTTCGGGCTCCGCTGGAGCTGCAGGAGCTCCGCTGGCTTCAGGCTCGGCGGGAGTGGCTGGGGCCGGGCCGGCGTCGGCAGCAGCTGGGGTGGTGCAGGATCCGTCCCCTCTCCCCGGAGGAGAGGGGATCTCGCCTTCCACCGCGCCGGCGGTGGCTGTGCTTCCTTCCATCTCCGCCGCGTCTGCAACTGGGGGTCTCTCTGCGCGCTCGCTCTTATCTGGGGCTCCCGAGACCTGGATGGGCGGGCCGTCACTCCCGATTGGGGGGCTGTCCACGTTGACGATGTCGTCGTCGACCCCAGTGGAGGCGCTGCCAATCTCAAGCGGGGGTCTGGAGATCTCCATCGGGGGGCTGTCGCATGCGAAGTTAAGAGCAGATCTGACTGCCTCTCGCCAAGGACTGTCGATGGCGCCCGCGACCCAGAGGGGAGGCGCGCTCGCGGCGGGAGCGAGGCTGAGCGCACTCGGGACCGCGACTGCCGGGAACTGGCCGCTCCCAACGACTTGAGGGATGACTCGGGGGAGCCCTGGGGGTGGGCTATCGCCCCCAAATGCTTCTCCGTCAATTCCAAATGGCACAGCTTCCTCAGGCGGAGGGCTGTAGTCTCCTCCGAAGCTACTGTTTTCAGATGCGCGGCCCCGGGGCTCGGCGCGAAGAGCTCTAGGGACCCCCGCCTCTGGACCTCCTGGAGCGTGATCCCTGGCACGCAGGAGAGGCTGGCTATAGTCTCCCTGGGCAGGCTGGCTGAACTCAAACGGCATGGCTTCTTCTGGTGGGGGGCTGTAGCTTCCCAGGCCTGGGGTCGCACCACCGGGGGTCCGGGGCTCCAAAACCACTGGGTTGAAGATTTTGAATACTGGCTGGGCTCCAGATGCTCCAGACTGCTCCAGGCTGGGCCAGAAACCTTCCAGGCCGGGCTGCTCGACCTCGAACGGCATGGCTTCCTCAGGAGGTGGGCTGTAGCCTCCGCAGGCTCCAACTTCCTCGAAGGTCGTGCTGAGGCCTTGTACGTTGGACCTGGGGACATCTGGGGGTCCACGGTCCTCGATGCCAGCCGCGACGGGGATGGGCTCATTGTCTGGCGGTTCGGTCTCCATCCCTTCGGCTGGGCCAGGCCCAGGACCGGCGGCAGCTGCCCCTGGGGCTTCCACAGGTTCCTGCTCGGGCTGCTCCCCGACTTCAGGGGGGATATCGTGTTGTCCTGACATATTACTGCCGTAGAGGCGGTTGCGCATGCCCATAACACGGTGGCGGTTTTTAATAATAATTTGGGAGCTCCGTAATACGGAGCACCCAGCCAAACTAGGGCGAGAAAAAATATATTTAAAAAAAATTCAAGTATTGGCTGGAATGTTTTCCAGCCTCAGTTTCCAACCTTTGTAAGTATAGGTTCTCAGGGCCTAGAATACCAGACCATGGCAGAAACCATTCAGTTCTTGCTGGTGGAATCCTGGTTCCTTCCTGGTGACTACTTTACCTTGAGGTGGCCTCGGGTGCCTACCCGTCGGACGACTGTGTTCCTTCTACTTTCTTTACTGCAGTCTTCCTCCTCCTGCTGGGCTTGGAGGAGCGTGCCGATTCGTTTCGAAAATCGTCGGCAGAGTCCTTTCTCTACCGCCAGAGGACGCCGGTCCCAGTGCTGAGCCGGCTCCAGGAGCCGGCTCCCGGCGCCAGCAGTTCCGGACTTTGGGTAAGGGGGCTGGTGAGCGCAGGCCTCGCAGGGACGTTCGGCTCCTTCCTCTCCTCTCCTTGACTGATTTGGAGTCTCTCTCCTAGTTTCTCTCCTGACCAGAGAGAGAGCGAGCTCTTTTGCGTTGCTGGGACACGTGACGCAAGACGTGGGCATTGGTCTGACAGAGTACAGAAGATGAAACCCTCCCTCCTCATCTGACTCCTCGGGGGGAGGGGGGAGGAGGGAGGGCGGGACTGCAGGAGGGTTTCATCACCCCAGATTACTCCGGCGTACCCCGAACCCCTTTCCTGAAGCCCCCAGACCCAAGTAGTCACAGATTCTGAGCTCCAAGTTGGGAAAAGGAGGTTTCTACATACCCGGGAAGGGGTAGCGGCTCGTGCACGGAAATGCGACAGGTGGTCGTGAGCCCACCGGAAGGGCGGAGAGGGGGAGAGGGGTGAGGGGCTGCTAAATGTGAGTGCGCAATTTGTTTGTTAAAAGCTCCGGGGGAGTTCTGATGGTCGTATTTTGCTGTTTTTGCTTGCCGTTGGCGGAGGTTGATGCGGGTGAATGTCGTTAGTGTCCCCCTTCCCCACAGGGGTCTCAGCAGCGGCCTAGCGCGATGCGGTAAAGCTTCGTCCTTGTTTATGTGGATGGTGACGCAGGAGGAATAGAAAGCTCTTAGGCGTACGGTACAGGAAATGAAGCCAAAGCCCCCCAGGCGGTCGCGGTGCCTGTTGCCGTGATTCCGCGGCTAGGGGAGGGGGCGAGGGTCTCCCCGGAAGACCCCTACCCAACTCAGGTGTCAGAAGTCTGCATTCCAGGGATGGGTGAAAGGAGATTTTAGATGCCATTTATGATTGATTTAGAGTGGTCTCAAAGACTAGACACCCCGATACTTGACCCACCGACCAACCATGCCGCGCCAGGAACCGCAGCTGATATGCCTGGCTTCCGGCCTCGGCAGCGGCCGTGGGGTCTTCACCCCACTCCTGTAGCCCCTCTCCATCCCTCTGCCAGCCCCTCTTCTTCCAGTGTACGCATCCTAGGGCTTTACTTTGCATTGCAACAGTCTGCCTAGGAGGCACCAAGCGCGGCCACAAGCCCCGCAGCAGCTCGCCAGGCTGCGCGCCCCCTGCGGTGCCGCGGTGGGCTCGGAGCCCGCGGCGGGTAAACAGCCGCAGTGCCGGGTGGGCCCCATGCACATGCACCACGCTCTAGGTCTGGGGGAGGGGGACCTATGGAGGAATTTGAGTTGGGGGCGAATATTGCTGCTCTCATAGAAGGTGTAAAACCCCACACACGGGCACCACGGTCATTTTGGCTGTCACGCGGGTGATGGCGACGTGCGAGGCATGTTTTTTTGTGCGGCAGCTAGGCGGTGGGCAGGTGGTTGTGGGGCCTGCGGGACCTTGGGGCAGAGACAGGCAGTGTGAGCCCGCACCGCGTGGGCTGCCGCAGCAGGGATGCAGCGCACTGATCGCGAGTGCCATGCGGCAGGACCGCAGCAACGTCTGCACTTCTGAGTCTAACGTGTCCCTCTTGCAACCACAGGCGCAGCAGCACAGTCCCTCTGCACCCAGCGTCCACGTGGTGGCCCTGAGCCGAGGAAAGCTGACCAAGTGCACGCCGGGGTAACACGTGGGATCTCCCGAAGGCGCGTGACACCTCAGCTCCACGGCTCGACAGCCTTCATGGTGGCAAGAGTGAACTTTGGTCCAAAGTTTGGCCAACTACCCCCACGCAAAATGGCGAAACCGTTTGAACGTCTACTGAATGGGCCAACTGGGTTCCAACCACCAACCCACTCCCCTTCGACCCCAGCACCAGGTCGGCCATTGGGCTGGGGTCACGCCAATCAAGGCCGCCTGGCGAATGAGCAGGGGGCTTCGGACCGGAAACCGGATATGAGTGGGAGGTCCAATAGGGGGCGCCGCGTTGGAACGCCCTAAGAGGTTGTGCTTGCAGGGTTGGTTGGAAGCGGTTGGCGGGCGGGCGTATGGCGGCCAGGCCTTGAAGGTCAGAAGCGCCGTGGGGTCAGTCTTTGTGAAGCCTCAAGTCATGAAGGCCAGGTGAGAGGGTCGGGGACTGCCATGGACCAGCCCTGCCATGCACCAGTCCGCCATGCACCAGCCCTTGGGCTCATCATGGCGGTGGGCTAACCCACTTCAGGGAGGGTGACCGCTGAGGCACAGCTGAGAGAGATTCCAGGGCCTGGAGGTGGTGAGCCAGGACCCTGGAGAGAGGGCTGCCCGCCCAGATGCTGCCGAGCAGTACAGGATGGACCAAGAGTTCATTTCCTTACCAAGGATGCTGAACCCAGCACAAGGTGGAAGGTCAGTAGACACTGGGCTTGGAGGCCGCCACGAGGGCCCCCTGGGCTCTCCAGGCCTCACAACCACCCCTGAAACACAGTTCATGGAAAAGCGGGTTCAGGCTGCCTTTGTTCAGACATTCTAATGGAGCTGTGGGACCCCTTTGTTCCACGTTCTCACTCTACCATGGTTCTTATCTACCATGGACAAGGGATAAAGACCCGGTGCACACCAGTCTCCTTGCTAAGGTGGAGAACGGCGTGAAAACGGAAGAGAAGGCCTCCAATCGGAGGGATTGAAAATTCCTGCTGGAGAAAATGGCGCCTCAAATGGGCCTCCCTAGAGAAGGGAGATGTGCCTTCACCACGAATGGAAGGGGCGGGGCGGGCACACCTTCACCTATCTGGAACAAAGGGTCCAACAGGGCTGAAGAATGGGGCCTGGTTGGGAGCAACCGGACTCCTTTGCTCTTCCAGAAACAGTAGGAGAGAGAGAAGAAAAAACTGGATGGGCTTTCTGAGGACTCTGGAGCATCCGGGTTATTTTGGCAGGAAGTGGAAAGGAGGAAGTGGGGATGTTGGAAGGGGTGTTAAATTTTTTTTTTTTTTAAATTTAGGGTTGTAATCTTTCCCCCTTGCAGGGGAAAATTTAAATCTAGTTTTGAAAAAGGCAGAAGCAACATAGGGAGTGGATCAGATAAAGGGAACAAAGGATTTACGCAGAGAAGGCTGTGGCTAGCTGCCTGAAACCTTAAGGAGACACATAGACATAGTGAAGGAATGGATTGAGGAGAGTTACCAGAGGACTGCCCAGTAACTCCCGTGCTAGAGGGTCATGGAAGATGGCGGAGCCAAAAACCAGCACCTAGCTTGATGGGACACCAGGAACAGCAGAGTATGGGGGGGAGGGGCTGGCATGGTGGTAGAGCCAATTTGATTTTAAACCTGGCATAGTTGAAAGGAGGATGGCCCACTTAAGGGAGATTTTTGACACCCTAATTCTGGAGCAAAAGGATGTGAAATTTAGAAAAAAGGTAGAGATCATAAAATTTAAATTGACAAGCAACCTTCCTGGGATCTGAGATCACTGGATCTGATCAAAGTTGGAGCATGGGATAAAGGGAGAGAAGGAAGGTTCCAGAGGGAAAGGTGGAAGCTGCCAGAGCCTCCATCATGGCTCCCCAGACCCTGCACTAGTGACATGGTTGCGGTCCTTCTCTGATACGTGATGATCCTGTGCATGGTAGGCGGTTGTGTGACAGCCCTGCCTGTACCACTGGACATTAGTGGTAAATAATGAAAAGGTCCCCACACTTTGCTGACTGTCCTTGGGGTGCAAAAAATTCAGCGCCGGCTGAAAAATCAGTGTTATAAGCTGAGAAAGAGCCCTTACGCTTGAATAAAGATTGCTTTAATTTAAAGGTAAATTCATACCTGGAAAAACAGATCTCAGTTCCGGCACTCAGGAGGCAGAGGCAAGCAGATCTCTTTAAGATCAAGGTCACCCTTGTCTATATAGTGAATTATATACCAGCTGGGGCTACATAGAGAGACTGCCCCCCCAAAATTTTTTAGTATTTAAGCCTGATGGTCCCTTCATTTTCTACTTTAATTTTTCTATAGTGGTTGAAAACCCCCAGTCAGTCGGATGAGTGCAGCTGTCAGCTGAGGCTCAACTGCTCACCAGCAGAGGGGCCAGATGTTTGAGAAGCTGAGCCACTAAAAGACAGCCGTATGGCCTGGCCAAAGGACTGAGGGACACCGTGTGTGGTAAGGGCTTGGGGGTGAGGAGCATGTAGCTTAACTGGGTGTCACCTTGAAGAGTTAGACTGTCTAGAGCCTGCTGGGGATTGGTGTTCCTCCTGACTCAACACAGAAACATGACTTTGATGCCGATGGGGAGGGCCAATGCTGGGTGCTGGTGGGCAATCTGGGCTGGGGCCACCACCCTACTAAGGGTGAGGTTTTTTTAACTCTTGTATGTGTGTGTGTGTCCATGTATGCGCACTTGCAAAGATCAGAGGACAACTTGTAAGAGTTGGTTCTCTCCTTCCACCATGTGGTTTCTGAGGAATCAAATGGGTTTTTAGGCTTGGCAGCAAGTACCTTTACCCACTTGATGACCCCTAGCAGAAGATCTTAAACAAATTTCCAGTTCCAGTTGACTTTGTACATGGAAAAGGTAAATATTTGGGGGACATGGGTAGGAACAAAGAAGAAAAGTTATAATTCATGAAGCTAAGGAAGAGGAAGTCAAGACAGACCAGTGCTCAAAGGAGGCCCATAGGGACACAGGACAAAAGCTAAGCTCCAGGTCTTGACCTGTCTCATTGGGGAATGTGCTAGAGGGAAGGGCTGAAAGGTGATGAAACATTAATTGGAAAACAGGATTCGCTGTCACAACTGTGTACACTCTACTAGTTAACAGTATTAGAAAGGAATGGGGAGTTCTGGTCATGTCTCTCTTAAGCTCTGCTTTTCTGAGGAAACTCAGCCTGCTTAGTCCAAGTGGCCCAGATGCCCAAGTTAAAAACAAGTGGAAAGAAGGTGTTTCTTAACTGCAGATTCTCTGGTGACATTACCACATGCAGGGGTGTGCGGTTCCCCACCTCTGTGCCACCCTGGGCTTCCAAATTTTAGGCTCGTGATTTTTTTACTGACACTTCTATGGAATACATAGGTTATAATCAATTGTGTTTATACTTACATGTTAGGGTTTTCACTGCCCAAAGCCCAAGGCCCATCAGATAGAGGAGAGCTTTCTTGATTCACCCCCTGTGGCCCCAAAGAGAAGGCCACGGAGGAGGTCCCTTGAGAGGAAGAGAGGGAAGGTGGGCAAGAGGGAGGGGAGCAGAAGCCAAGCCAAGCAAGCCTGGTGGCAGCCAGGTTCCTTTGGATTTGTGCTTTGGAGAAGGGGCAGCCTGGAGGGGGCTTTTTGACTGTAGCCCAATCATTAGATTCAGGAAAAGGGAACATTAGCAGGGAAGACAGGAAAGAAAATTCAGGCAATCGCCAAGCTTCTCGTTTTGCCAGTGACAAAGGCTTTCTGAGTGTTTCCCTGAGTAGCAATAAGACTTTGAGGCTGTTCAATTAATTACTGTTCAATTAGGACTGCTGCGGCCCCCCTTCCCTGCCAGCCTCTCTGCCAGCCTTGGCCGGTGGAGGCAGTAGCAGCTTACTGCTGTGTGCAGAAGGGGCTATGTGACTAGCCTGTTTAAGGCAAATGCTAATTAGGGGGAAGATGCCTCCAACCCACAGAGCAACAGAGTAGGCTAGGGACAGATAGGGGGCTAGTGTGAAAGGTGAAAACACTCCATCTGCTCAGAACAGAATGCCCTCCCAAGAACTCAGACCCCGTCACTCAAGCTCAGTCTCAATGGCGTTCTTTGCAGAAGGGCCGCCAAATCATGCTTCAGCCTGCTAACTGACCACTGTGCCTGTGCAGGGTGTCCACACCCTGTGTGCACCCACCTAACCTCTGCTGTGGATTCCTTCTCCAGAGGAGCCGAGGGTGCCGCAAAGGCTTTTGAGGGACAAGTGGCCATTCTAGAGGCCGGGGGAAGGCTGTTTGGGTCGGGGTGGGGGTGGGGAGCAGAGTGGGAGGAAGGATCCCGGAAGATGGATTTAGCTTTAGTGGAAAGGCTATTTAAAATTTCTGTAACTCACGGTGGAAGTTCCAGGCGCCCTGGGGGCTTCTGGGCACCAAATGCTATTTGAATTTAAGGGGAATGGTATATTTCACCTTCTCACACAACCTCAATTACCCAAAGCAAATTTTCCTAACGAAGTCTAATTGGAACAGCAACATAAGCCAGGACACTCAGAAAATGGCTGTTGTCTAGGGGAAGGAAAAACCTGTCAATGTTGGCTGGCTGTCAATCTTTGGGGTTGCACCCCTTAAGTCTGGGGGGCCTCAGAGACTGGCTTTTCTTGAGCCAAAACTCAAGGCTTAGGCTTTGGACTGTTGGCTAAGATGACTAGCTCTTAGGCCTTTCTTTTTGGTGAAGCATTTGACGTATTTATACCAAATTCCACTCCATACATGAAACTGATATTCCTAGGCTAGGTCTGTCTTAAGGCATCAGGGGACAGTGACTTCTAGGGTTGACTAATCTGAAATCCTCATTAGCGGCCCTCTGGTGCTGTCTTTGACTATTAAAAACACTCCCTGTTGCTTGCTGCAGCTTGTTTGAGCCCCTTACAGCCTGCCATGTTTTAGTGTGTCTTCAATCTTTTTCTCTCTGTCCCTTCAAAATGCTTTGCATAGCCATAAACCTTACTGACCTAGGGACCTCCCCTCACCTTTTAAAAACAAGTCTTGTGTGTGTTCCTTCTTGGGTACTTGCTTATATGCTTACATCTTTCCTTTTTTCCCTTCCACGATCCCCCAAACCTTTTCCTCTTGGTCTTTCTCAAGTCTACCTCCACATAACTGTTCCCAACTATCCTCTGCCCTTGTAGCCTGAGCTAACCCTGGGGTAGCTATGTCCCCTTGCTAATGTGTAACATGCTCACCCTAAAAGAGGCCCATAGAATAAACACACAGGCTGTGCCCACATTTGAAGCTGAGAAGGCTGCCTCTCCAGCTCCACCCAGAATAGTTTGCAGCACCCCTTGGTGTTCTGCCTCTGCTGGCTGAGTAGTATCAACAGGTGACAGTGGCCCTGCACTCCAAACTCTTGGCCTTGGGAGATCCAAGCCACTAGGTTGTTTACTCTGGCCTCTGCCATATGAATTCACCAGGCACCAGCACTTGGCCTGGTTTTGTGGGCTTTCTATCAGGGAGATTTTGAGAAAAAGCTGTGAAATCTTAAAAAACAGCAGCAGCAGCATTAAAAACAGCAATAATAATAATACAAGAAAAACACCAGTAAAATTTGACCAAATTTTTAAATGGCTGAAAAAGGGTTAAAATATAAAATAAATTGACATGCTAAGTCACTTAATTTGGCAGAACCAGTTTTGGGGGAAAATATTTGCTTTGTTTATCCCTATACCCTTGCAGTGGAACCAGAGTTGGTTTGTGTGTGCACACAAAAAGAACTTAGCTATTGCCAGATCTTGCAGTGTATAAAAGGATGACGTCATGTAGTATGAATTTCATGGTAACAGCTATGAAAAAGGCTGAAAAAAGGTCCTGAGGGAGTGAAAAGTAAATGAAAGTTGGTTTGTCCTAGCTAGCTACACCCTTCAAGCTGTTTCTCCATGTCGAGCCTGATAGGGACACTTAAAACTTACTAGATAATGTGTTCAACACACATGGTCATTTAAACCAGAGTTCCATCAGTCTGTCTCTGAAATACTGTGACAAGCATTCCTCTAATGGGCTTATACCATGCTTGGTTCTGGAACGTTTCCTTCTAGACACTGAGGGCAAGGAAAGAATGCAGGAAAGGCACCCCCACTATCCTGAACATTGAAGGCAGCTATCGAGAATTCACACACACACACACACACACACCCGTGGCGGGGGGCATCTGTAGAGACAGGACATTGTAGGATTCTGCATTCTGCCCTCCCAGTTTAAACCATTTTTGCTATTAGCTGAAAAGCAGATTTGACAAAACTGATATTAAACCAATGCAAAACAGACTTCTTCACGCATGGTGCTTTTTATTTTAATCAATGAGGTTTGGGGCTTCCTTAGGGCTATAAAAAAAAAAAAAAAAAAAATCACTGACAGTTAAACTGGACTTTCCAGGCTCCTCAAACCAACAGACCAATATGCATTTGAAACTCAAAGGGATCATAGGATTGTGTTGTTCAGCTAGTGCATTTTTTGAGGAAACTGAGGCAGAGGAGTGTTGAGGAAGACCTGATGCCACTCAGCAGGGTGGGACAGAAGCAGCCTCGCTAGCCCAGCACCTTCTGCCCTGTGTGAGGCATCGAGGTTTGGGAAATAGACTCATTAATGTCAAAATCCCACAACTGGGCAAGACGTTCCACCCCTCCTTGTGGAGCTTGGAGTTAAAGGTAACATGAGAGTCTTCTCTGTTTTGGGTGGTGTTTTAGAGAAGGGCAGCACTTGAGTTGACATGATGTCACTGGTCTCTGGGCTGCTTAGTTTGATTTTAGTGTTTTGTTGTTGTTTTGGGGTTTTTTTTTGCGTCCTTCCTGCTAAGAGGCTTCCCCTACACTGGTCTCCACTCAGTTTCCTCAGTAACGTGCTTCCCTGTTGAAGATCAGTGGTTAAAACAAAACAAAACAAAACTTTATTCTTACCTGTACTGACGTTTCAGCTTTCTTCCTTGTTAGCCCAAAACACCTGCTAAAATGAAGGCTAAAGAGCAAAGGGTTGTGAGCAATTCCAGGAGAAAAGGATTCTCATGCAGTAAACAACCTTAAATCAATTCCCACGTTTCCCCCTCCTCCCCTCATTTTCCAATTCTGATAAACATAATTAAAAGGTTTGTTTACAAACTTGAAAAAGTGAACTTACATCTAGGTTTTGCCATCACACAGTATTTGAACATTATTACATAATTTTCCACTTAAAAAATTCAATTAGAACACCCCCCCATGGTTTTCCCATTAAGGAAATGATTAATGCAGAAAAGACTCCTAAATGATGAGGCACACCATCTAACTAGCTTTATTGCCCCCCCCCCCATATTGTAATGGGTAGCTGGATGGCCCCTGTGTCGTTCCCCCCCTCGGGTCTGTTTTTCCCAGGGCATGTCTTCCCCATCCTGGCTGCCTAAGTTAGAGGGCAAGCCAGCCTATTCAAATGCTAACCCCAGCTTAACAGGGTGAGACAAAGGGCCAGCTGGGAGAATAGGGAGCTGGGAATGTCTGCAGAACCTACTGGAAAAGGCAGGCAGCTGAATCCCAGTGCTGGCTTAAAATGTCTGCTTCACAGACAGTGGCTTGAAATGTGTTTAGCAAAACTTGCTGGTGTGTAGGTGGAGGGTGTTTTTCAGAGGCGGATTTTTATATGGTCCTAAATGTCCTTTTCACCCGAAGTCAGAGGAGAAATTGGGGTGGAGGGTGGGGGAGGGTGTGTGCTGGTGGGTATCAGGCTTCCAGGGCTGAGCTATAAGTATGTCTCCCGTGACTCAGGTAGTTAGTGAACTGAGAGACAGCAGATTGCATGTTCCTAGTTGGGTACCCCGTGTCTAAGCCTGGTACATGCTCAGTAAGGCCTTTTAAAAACAGCCACGTAGGTGAGGTGGGGGCCGTAGGGACCTAAGACCTTTTAAAAAATATGTTTATCCCAGTAACAAGGCAGCATACTAATTTAGCTAATGAAAAACCTAGCTCTGCAAAATACTCGTCTCCCAGAGACCTTCCAAAGGGAGAAAGTTTGCTCCAGCACAAACGTGCAGCACAGAATCCCAAACCCTGGCATTTCCACCTGTTAACTAGAGACTTGTTGCTTGGTGAACTCGGGTTACTAAAGACATAACTAGATTTTTTTAAAAAAATGACATCACAGAAATGGCACCATCATCGTTTATTTTGCTGAGAAATTTAACTTCGGAGAGATGCGATTCGCATAGGCAATTTCAGGCCAAAGCACCCCCCCCTCCGCGCGCGCCCCCGCTTTCTGCAGACTGCGCGTCCTCTACATGCCTGATACCAGCAACGCAGTGGGGAAAACCCACCACTAAAAACTCCCTACCCTGTGTGCACCAAACACATCTAGCCACAGGGCGTGCGCCCACCCTCACTAAGTTCTGGGGGCCGCGACACCCTCTCAGCGAAGCAGGTAGGTCCGGGAAGGAAGATTTTATTTAGTGCTTTCCTTCTGTTTTTGTGCCATCCCCCTCCCTGAGGCGCGCGTGATCCCAACATTCTTTGATTTTAAGCCGCTGAATCTCTTTCCCTCCCCAGGTTTTCCAAATCATCCCCACTAAAATAACTCGCCGGCTCAGGACAACGCCTAAAGAGACCAACAACTGTTTCCAAATGAGGTGAGATTTTCTAAATACATTTACTCATCAGCCCTTTCCCCTCTGCTGGAGAGGAAGGCACTCCAAGGTTTGTTACTGGATCGTGGCGGTTTGGGGGCGATCTCCCCCCGGGTTACGGATTCCAAACTACGCTCTACCAGAGATGAAAATGGCTGGAGTAGTCCTTCCGCCCCAAGGCTGGTGAGGCCGCCAGAGCCGCCAGCCCCTGCCCCCTCTGGTTCCTGAGCGCATGATCCAACACCTTTCCCAGCTCCGTCAGTGCCACGATCTTTTTGGGACGCCATAGAAGGTGTCCTGCTGATAGCCGCGACCCCTTACTCAGCCTGTGCCTTGACGCACTTTACCTTTCCACAGGAGACCACTGGGTGCGGACCTCAGCCCCTCTCTCCTACCTCTAGGGCCTAGGCGCACCACGGACCTCTCCAGGCTAGCCGCTTCCAGTCGCGCCGCCCACCAACTGCGCCAAAACATTGGCTGTGCCTGGACAGGATCGCGTACACGCTGCCAGCCCCGGTAGCCAGGAGGGGCACCCCCAAAGGCCCCCGTACCTCCACTGCTTGCCCTCCAAACACCCTTCGCTCACGGGGAGATGCCCGTGCACGTAGAGAGGTTGGCTCTGGGGCGCATGGAGAGGCGCGCACGCTCCTTTTCACGATCTCTGGCCACCGCGAGCCCCTGGAGGCAAGCGGTGTTGGCCAAGATTGCTTGTGCGGGCGTCAGGAGCTCTGGATTCGAGGTCCCGCGACTCCCAAATTGGCCGTGCCGGGACCCGGGTTCCAAGCTCCGCGCCTGCTCCTTCACTCCAGAGCCGGGCGGTCTCCGGAGTTCTCACCCAACCCCAGCATGGTTACTTTTCGCGCATTACAACAGTGTAGCTACTACGCGGCTGCCCGATTCCCCAAAGTTGGCACACGCACCTCCGCACCAAACCCTTTTGGGCTCTTGCCAAAGTCAGCTCCAGCGCCTAAGCCAGCTCAAGTGCCCGAGATTAACCTTTCTAGGAGAGAAAAAAGCTTGAAAACAAGTGCCTTACCTTTGCCGTTTCCGTGCGCGGTTCCAAACCTGGGTTGCTCTCGGCATTCAGTGTCGCACCCGGGGCGTCCACTCAGGAACCTCAGGTTGTCTCCAGCGAGGCGCCAGGAGCGCCCCGCCGTCCAACAATCCTTTAGGCTCCCGAGCGCCCCTGGGCGACCTGGAGAGATTTGAGGAGCCCTCGCCCCCTCCCCTAGGTGCGTTTTGGGGTTGACTAGCTGAGCCCCGCTCTCGTCCCACCTTGCTCCCACTTGTCTCCTTCCTCCCACCCTGTATGCTGTGCCCTCGGGGTACCCAGTTTGACCGGAGCAACTAACCTTTATCCATGAAAACGAGGAGAATCTGGACGGAGTCACCCATTAGTGACGCCGGATGGGGATGGGCCCCTTTCTGGGAGGGGACTCCGGGGACTGGTCTCGGCGGCGGGCGGGCTTCCTGGTCTTGCAGCGGCGTGGCTGCCTCTTCTCTTGCTTGCGCTCCTCTGACTCCTCGGGGTCGCGGGGATCCTGGTCTTGGGGCTCTCGCTGGGGCTCCTCCCCCTCGCTGGCGCTCTGGGGCTCCTGAGTGGCGGGCTGTGCGCGGCTCGGGGAGGTGTCGGCACTCCGCAACTTCAGAGCGTGCAGACGCTGGGTGAGAGACTGGTTGAAGGCGGCGCCTCGGGGGCCGCGCTCGTCTTCCGGCTCAGTCTCGGGCTCAGTGGCGGGGGCGGTCTCGGGCTCGGTCTCGAATTCGGTCTCGGACTCGATCTCAGACTCGGACTCGGTCTCGGTCTCGGTCTCGGTCTCGTATTCGAAGTCTTCCTCGTACTCTAGGCACTCAGGGACGGCCAGCTCGGGTTCGGCCTCCTCGTGGTCGTGCTCCTGGTCGGATTCGGACTCGGGGGACTCGGGGAACACCTGGGCGGAGCGGTGGTGGGCGTTGAGGAAGCTCCGGCGCTGGGCGGCGCGCTGCTGGGCGCGGGCGTTGGAAGAGGCTAGGGCGCGGAGGAGCGCGATGGAGCAGGAGAGCCAGAGGAGAGCGGTGGCGGCCCGGCGGCCAATGGGGGGGCACAGGTCGTTGTAGTTATGGCGAGCTCGACGCCACTGGTGAGCCCGGGACCTGCGATCCATCCTCTTAGACGCACGCCCGGAAGCCGACCCACCCTCTGACTGCAGAGAGCGGCTGCTGGAGGAAAAAGAAGGGAAAAAGGGAAAAGACGCATCTTAACAAGGTGAGGACCTGAGTCCGGGGGTCCCAGTCCCACCTCGGGGTGGAAAGAAGGGAAGCACCTACCTTCCAGAAGACTTAGGAACTTTTTAAAGCTAGAGGCTTTGCTTACCTCTTCGAGCAAAGGGAAGGGGTGGGAAAGGGAGAGAAGGGCTGTCTCCTCGGGGCTCCTCTCGCCAAGTCTCAGACTCTGAAGTCTAAGACTCCGAGAGGTGCCTCCGCTGGTCCTCTCGCCTGGGAGAGGATAGAGGAGACTGAGGTGGGGAGGGATGGGGCGGTTATGAAGTTGCGCGGACTTCTGCCGGGCATGTGCAGTAGGGAGGTAGGGGGGGGCGCCTCCCCGCCAGCTGCGCGGTAGCCTTGCGCGCAGACCCTAGTGGGCCGGCAGGTGGCAGGAGGGAACCTTGTTTGAGAGGATTTGGCCAAATGCAGGGTCTGGAGAGCGCCAGCAAGCAAAGCGAGTCAGACAGCTACAGGTTAGCGGACTTGGGGAACCATTCCCCGCAGAGTTGATCCCACTCCTCACCTTCCCTTTAGGCACAGATGAGCACAGCCATTAAGGATTGAAAGCCGGGATGCAAAATAGCAAATATTCAGGGGAATGAGGGTCTGTACACGAATATTAATGAATGATCCGGACCCAGGCTTTCCACAGGGCTTGATGGGCTGAGGACAGTAACCTCCAGCAGTCATTGATCATGAAACCACCATTGTCAGGTGTGTCATAGTGACTGTAATTAGTGAAACTTCCCAAAGTGTGTGTCAGTGTAGTCTCAGGGGCTAGATACCCAATGGACAAATGCACGTTGCGGTTGAGAAAGGCCCCCACGGCTCTAGAGGTGGTAGACTGCTAGTCCGAGCTTGCCACGCCATGAGCTCTGTCCAGCTGAGGTGTGCTGGAAGACAGGAGGAGCTGAGATCGTCTAAGAGAAGACTTCTGCACTCCAGGTCAGTCCCTGCGACCCCTACTTCCTGGGTGACTGGGTGGCTTTCTGGGGTGGGTATTAGCACAGAGTGCTGCCCAAATGCCCTTGGAGCTGTTTCTCCTATCCATTTTCAAAGTAGATGATTCATCCAACACATACTCCTTCAGCACCCAGCAAACGGCCAAGCTCTGTTCTAGGTGCTGAAGACTGAATGGACCAGGAAAGGTCTTGCATTAAAGAAAGAGTATTGGGGGCGGAGGTGGGGGGTGGGAGGTGGGGGATAATCTACTGTTAATCGGAGCATTAAATCATTCACCCACCAATATCATTTCGTCTAGCTTAAACTCTCTGTGAGAAAAACAGATGCGTCAACCAGAACATCAGGGCTAGGGGGCGGCCAGACACCGGGAGATCACTGCGTTGAACTCTGAAGGCTTAAGCATCGGAGTTAACTAGTCCCACTCCTGAGCCCGACAAAACCAAGCAAGCTCCTCTAGTCCAGGAGGGGATCCAGCACCCTGTGGTGTGGGAAGCTCTTGGGTTCCATCTGCTCGGGGGCAGCGGGGGGGGGGGGTCCTTCCATCTTGCCTTGCCTGTTAAGTACAGTGCCCTTTTTGCCATAAAGACAAGCAGAGCCATCTTCCTGAGATCCATGAAGTCTTTGCAGGGTTGCTGTACTTAGGACACCTGTCATGGGTTCGGTTCTTTTCTCCTTGGGTCTGGTTCTGAAGAAGAGGTACTGCCTCTCAGAACTCTGCTGTCCCAGGGCTCCTTCCCGGAAGCAGAGTCCTCACCCGGCTCTGAGGTGGTTCCTTACCATAGGTCACTCACTCTCTACACCAGGCTGCATTACGATTTCCAGATGCAGAGTTAAGGTCTTAGTGGGGTCCTGGCTACTGCTCTGCAAGGTTGGGGATTTTGCTTCCACCTCTTAGCTGTATGTGTGTTGCATCTAATGGTCTAGGAATTGGCCTGTCACTGTGAGACACCAACCAGTAACAAAGTGGGATTGAGCCGGCAAAGCTCATAATGGGCAGCTGTATTACAGTTAGTTGTACCCTGCTCTTAACACTTTCCAGAGAAACCAAAGGGTTATGGTTCCACTGTGGTTCTCATCACCATGTGGGTGTCATCTTGGGACACTGGACAGGAGTGTTTGGCACCGAGCATCTCAGATCCTGATCTCTGCCTTCCTACCCTGGCTGATGGGGATGTTTCTAAGGGGTCTGTGCATTTTGATATACCCAATCTGATTTCTTTCAATTAGCACAGCTCCACCGACAACAGCACATGGGCTAAAGACACCGATCAAGCTGATTTCAGGAATGTGGGTGCTGGTAAATGCCCTTTCAATAGAAACTAATGCCAGCTGTCAGCAGTGAGGTAGGTTAGGATTCTTTAGTAGGAAAGTACTTCATTTTTCAGATGGAGTGCTTTATGCCTGTGACAGAGACGGCAGCCCAGAGCTGCTTCACTAATGCAGATGCACCGAGATTGCCTGCATTATTAAAAATACGCATTACATAATGCATATTTTTGGACTAGACTCTGCATTAGCAGCGCTCTCCTCGCAAGATGCATTTTAATCAGCCAATGGACATTTAACAAAACACTGCATTTTCAAGCCCTGTCATATGTATAGTTACAAATACATTTCAGTGAGCATTCAGTACAGGCTCCAAGAGGAACTGAGGACCGCACTGGAATGCTGTTCCATCTCGCACTTAGTGCCGAGGTCAGGCAAATGGATCTGTGCAGAAAATGCTCTTTAAAATGCATTACGTGCATGACTTTAAAGAGTGCTTGCTGCAGAGTGAATTTCAAAAAGGACCAAGTGGGTGATGAACGACCTCAGTTGTTACCAGGCTAAGGAACGAGAGGCTTTCTCTCTGTCTGCTGGTAAATAAAGTATGGTCATATATTACCTTCTGGCTCTGCCAGAGGGAAGCTTCTAAACCAGTTGGACAGGAAAGCAGTTTCCAGTTCATTACAGTACCATACAGTAAGGTTTTTATTTGGATGAATTGTGAAGCTCCTTAAAGGATTGTCATGAGGGCAAAATTAGAACCTTTGGGTGGTATTTACTTCTCAGCCTGGGGAGGAATATTCTCACCATCAGGCCTCTGAAGTTGAATGGACTGTCAAGAAGCTGTTGCTTCTTCATCAGCAACTGTACTAAGCCAAAGGACAGGTGACCACATACTGGAGATGTTTTCTGTGGTGCTCATCAGCTGGCTGGCACTGAAACTAAAGGCTGGCTGCACCCTCTTCAGACGTCATTCCATGCTGTGCACTGAGGGGCTGGGGGCTCAGGTCTCCCACTCTGCTGCTGTTTCAGAAGCACTTGAGGGTACACATAGCTCACTGGCAGGAGGGAGTGTCAAGGTAGAGGTTTTGAGATAGCACAGGTAGATGCACATGGCCCAGGAGGTTAGTGTTGGAGCTCTTGTAACCTGGCAGGTTACTGAGGCTCCACAACACTCACTTTTTGGAGCAAAGACATTAGTCAAGTCCATCTATTAATTACATCGGTCTTCCTTGCCTCCCCTCCTGGAGCTGTCTCGGAAATTACAAATGAAATTGGCTATTTAGCAATCACGAATTGAGTCACTTCTATGACCAAGACACTATTCCTGGCATTGTAGGGAGATCGAAGTAAATGAAGATGAGCCATGCCTGCCATCCAGCAGCACACAGATCAATGTGAGATGTGCCCCCCCCCCAAATGCTAAAAACAGGCTACCAGTGCAGTGAGTGCACCTCAGACAGATAAACAGGGAGGGAGGCTGAGGAATGGGAATTGAAATCAGAGGTCCAGTTCCCCTGGTTTTCTGAAACAGATACTGAGAGAGATTTGGGGGAGGGGGGTTGTTGTTGACTTTTTTTTTTTTTTAAAGCCTGATCCAACTTTGATATTTTCTTTAGATTTGTTTTTTTCAAACTCATAAGAGAATTGCTTTTATTTCACCCGCTCCCGTGTGCAAAGCCATGTGCCGGTCGCTCTGGGCAACAGATGAATCACATGGGTCTGTACAAGGTTTGCAGGCTATTGTCAGAGGTCCTATAGGGCATCAACACATTTTCCAAGATGAGACTTAAGATAAAGGCTTGGTTCTGCTCTGCTGGGCAAGTGGGTACAATCGCTCTTGAGCATGTTTTTTGGACAATCATTGGAAATGACTATTTTTGGAGATGGAGAGCTTTTCAAACTTTCCTTCGGATAGAAATGAATTCAGGGACTTTGATGTACTCCCCACCCCTCACTGTGGCAATCAGCCAGAAAGGCTCAACCCCACTGAGAATTTGGCAGGGCCTGGCCCTCCCATTCCCCAAGGGGACTGGGCACAATGCAGGAACCTTCGGCTGGGCTCTCCGGGGTGCTGTTTAGCTGTTACTCAGATTGCACTGATCTCAGTCGGCTCTCACCAGTAGAAATGGTAAAAACCCCATTTTTCCTGATTTTGTGATTTGGGGGGAAGGCCATCTAGAGCTAAAAGCAAACAATAGTGGAAAATAACCATCTTTAGGGCATGACTGGATCCTGCCCTGGCCATTGTTGGATCATATCTGTGCCACTCCCATTGGAAGGGAGATAGGATTAGAGCTGCAGCCACTGACCCTTAGGAACTGTCTTAGGAGTGGCCTTTGCCCTCCACTTTACGCAGCCCCTCCCCACCCCCAGCTCTTTTCGTCTCCCTCTACCATAGAAGGAACAATTTCTAGACTCAGGAGCCGGAGAATGTCCTGAAGCTCCTCCATGTGCACAGAACTCCAGTGTTCAGGTCTTCTCAGAGGTGCTCCCACGTGCACAGAACTCCAGTGTTCAGGTCTTCTCAGAGGTGCTCCCACGTGCACAGAACTCCAGTGTTCAGGTCTTCTCAGAGGTGCTCCCACGTGCACAGAACTCCAGTGTTCAGGTCTTCTCAGAGGCGCTCCCACGTGCACAGAACTCCAGTGTTCAGGTCTTCTCAGAGGTGCTCCCACGTGCACAGAACTCCAGTGTTCAGGTCTTCT